ATTACAAGGCCAAGGACAAATAAACTTAATCATTAAGAATTGAGAACATTAACATTTGACTCAGTAATCGAGTTGATTTATCATCTGCTTTACATTTTATATTGGCAGGTTTTTCTGAAGTTATATGTTTTTATAGTGGATCTAGTATACACCAATTTACGGTGATGAGTAATGACAGGTAGTTTTCCCCTATATTTTTTTTTTTGATAACTATTTTTGCAACTAAACAATTGTTTGTTATCAAATAAACATTCGCCCTAAGATAGAGCTCCACTTTTTATGTATACCTAAGTTAATATTGATTTAATTTATTTTTGTAATTTCATAAAGTATTGTTCAAATACATAACCTGTTTATTGTCTTAAGGAACAAAAAAAATATTTATCGAAAAAATCATCCACAATGCGTGAGGTACTTCCCGGTTTTATTTAAAGAGCTTTATAGATATCTTTACCTTACCTGAAAAATATCCAGTTGTTGTGCAAAATGGAGCATTGTACTTTCTTAAGAGAGCAAAATACACATCTAGCTTGATATAAGTCTATAAAAATAATAATGGGAGTGTTTTTGTTTGCACTTTGACTGGGTAACTCTTTATAGTCGCATTGTTTATTCGTAATATTTTCCAGGAAATGTACTGATTCATATAATGCAGCCACACTCAAAGCTGTTATGGAAACAAAGAGCAGTCCATGGTATTATGTACAAACATTCTTTGAATTAAAAAAATTGATTACCGCAGCAAAACTGATTACGCAGGAATTGGAAGTGAGTAACAGGACTTACCCCGGAATACTGACAGTAAGAAAACGATAAAATAGAACATTTTTATGTAACTGATAATTTAGTTACGTTATTCTTTCTAAACAATAAATTGCAGCGAAAAAGAGTAATCTGTTACATTTACATGTTTTAGTTTTTCTCATGTAAGGTCTCTTGGAGACGATATGCAAACATGGACAGAAAAACACAAGTTGTGTAAATCTGTTTAATGAGAAATCATTTAGACATAAATACAGATCTGTTGAAAATATCTTGCTAATTTCTACTTATTTAACAGATGGAAATATAAATCAGGCAGAGAATAAAAATTCACTTACTTACTGCTGTGGTAAACCTATGAAAGCTTCCAAAATTTTTACTAGAATAACATATAATTATAAATTTTGTTTAATATAATCCTATCCCTATGATGCGAGTATTTGCGTAAACAACTGCATTACAAATTTACGAGGTTAGTTATAAATTATCATTACTTAACAAAAATGTGTCATTATTAATTTAAACTGAAAATTAGGGTACTACAGGTATCTTGTTTATATTTTTTCTCTGGTTGTAAATATGTTGCACAAATATATGATTCAACGAGGAACATTTTTTGTTTGTTAATTTACAGTGATAAAAAATAACAACAAATTTCTTGTTAAAGTGTAGGAGAAAATTTAACAAATTAATTATTACGCTAACATCATAGTTTACAAACTTTGTTTACAATGTGTTTATTCATTTATGACCAGAAATTTTTTTTAGATTGTGACAATGATCTTTCGCAACAAAAAATAAATATATAAATAAACTAAAATGAAGTTAAAAAAATAATAAAGATACCGCCTAAACTACTACTTGTGTATCACTGTTTTTACCTATGTACGAGTATGTGTGTTGTCCCAGAAGAAAGGATCATCAAATTTTATAGGAGTATCTATTTTTTTAGGATCACATAAATGATTTCTTAGAATTGTTGATAGAACTAACGTTTATGTAGAGAAAGAAAAATTTCCTTTGAGACTTTTTACTAAAAAATGTATGGGCGTCAATAAAAATTTTACCCTAAAATATTTTTGTATATCTTTTTTTTGAATAAATTTTTGAAATGATTTCAGTAGTTTTCTGAAAGACAAAACTACTTAAGTGCATTTTAATCAATGCTCTAAATCAATAAGGATCTTACCAAAGTAATTTGGTTATATGGGACACATGGAAAATTTGAAATTAATTTTTTTTAGAATTGGTAGTGCAAAAAAATTGATAATTACATAACAGCATCTTACGTTAGATATTAAAAAAAATATGTAGGGGTATTTCACGAGGACGTCATCAATTTGTTCAAGGAAATTATAATACTAGACAAATTTTTTAACACTTCTTATACGTTATTCTTGATGAACAATTAAAAACTGTAAACTAATTAATAATTATGTAGTTTTAAATATGCCCTCCATCTAATTATAGACAATACATTGTTATATAACAGGTTGATTGATTATTAATATACATTTTTTCACAAACATAAAAAGATAATTCGTTGTTTTTTTCAGGTAAAATTTAAATTGTAAATTAAAAAAAAATAAGGTCTGATAAAAAACTATGACAAAAAAAATTGGTCGAAGGTTATCTCGGCAGAACTTCCCTCATTTCTGAACTGAAATTAGATTTTGTAAATTTAATTTTTTTATGAGAGTAATTTTTAATTTTTTGGTGATAATCCTCATGCGTAACGTTAAAAAATATGGATACATTGAAACATCATAGACAAAGAAGCATGTCACAGTACAAAATCCAATCAAGATTACTTAGCAAAATTGTGAGATGACGTCATCAAATGTCATACACTATGAAGACTACTATTACTTAGATTCATCTGAAGTTAAGTGGTAAATGTTATCTCCTATATTATCTAATGAATAAATACATCACTCAAATATGCAAATATCTGAAAAACTAGTTTTAGATGAATCTGTTTTTGAAAAATCTTGTAACTGCGCAATAAAGATGATATTCTTTATCATGCATTCTAATAATAACAGTATTGATTTCAATTTTTCTGGAAAATGGAGTGAGCCGTTCCTGATTTAATCAATAAAATAAATTGACTCATTCGAATCACCCTGTATAAGCAATTCTAAAAATATAAGTGCAATGATAAATTAAAATATATATTAGTCATATTTTTCAAAGTTTCGATAGGATTTAGTCGTAAAATTTTAAGATGACATCATCAGTTTTTTTTTTGGGGACAGAATTGATACATTTTGATTAAAAATTTATCATGTTTACGATAACTTTAAAACGTCTGCAAGATTTCAAAGCATTCAATTTTGCAAATTCAAAGTTAAATTGCAAAATATTATTATACAATTTTGATTTTTGTTTCAAAAATTTGGATATCTCGGGTAAAAACTCAATGAATTAAGACTCATTTAAGGAATTTAGTAATCGAGTCCATGGAGCGATTTATCAAACTACTTCCAAGTAACTAAGATATCAAAATGTATTTTATTCCAGGTGACTATGAATTAATGGGATCTTTAAACATACAATTACATTGCTATTTTTGTAAATTCTTTGGTTTCTAAATTATTGATTGACTCAGAATTATTTATATACAAAATAACAACGGGAAGTTGTAAATAAGTTAGTTCTAATTTATTTAGCGCCTAAGTGTGAAATCTGGCTATACTGATTTGGAGTTGTATTTATTTATTTATTAATTAATGTATCAACAGGTTTTTGCCAGAATTCCAAAAGCTACGATTTTTGTTACATTGCTAATAGGTAAAGAAACAACAAATTTTACGGAATAAGTAAAAATCGTCCAATATTTTCAAAATATAAGTAATAATTTAATACAAAATTAGGATCAAATTTAAGAACTATTTTTACTTGCCGAACGTAGGCTAAGGAAGTATCGTAATAGGGAATTTTATAATTATTTTAGAAATATCATCTAGATGGTAAAATGCTTTTTAAAATTTGTATGGTTAGCCCCACCAACAAGGTGATGACGTCATCTCAAAATTTAGCAGAGTAAATGGTATTTAAATTTTATAAAATAACTCCTATACTTGTGATCTATCAAACACTTAAAAGATAATATTTTCAGTAAAATCATTTTAAGAACACATACAAATTAGTGCGGATTTAAAAAATATAATCAAGTATAATAGATTTTCGTGTAATTGCGTTTCTAATTTCTTTTATAAATTTTGTTTTTTATTTTTTAGAAGAATATATTTATGTAGATAGTATATAGATTACAATTATTTTGATAATGCGTCCTTAAATAGTCGCCAGATTTTTCTAGAAAATCTTGATACATAAATAAACGAAAACAAGAGCATTATCAAAGCAAAACAACCCTGATTACGAGAATCTATTTATAATTTGTAATGGATCTATTACTCTCTAATTACTATTTTGTATACATAATTTACCACTAATTATAATAACGCAAAAAAATTAATTGCCGATCTTAAAAGAGGAAGATGAATAAAAGTAGCAGTATAACCTTCCCGCTGATTATTCATTTAGTTATTCATTATATGTTTATCACCACTTCCAGACAAAAAAATAAATGAATAATATTCTGGTTAATTATCGCCTTTTTCATTGTGCGAATAATCCATCATTAAACATAAAATAAATGCAATAACTGCCAATCAAGGTGCATAGAAGGGTCGAAACGAGCTTTCACCAGTTAGACAGAAGTAACTCGTAGCTGATTTGATAATAAAAATACCATGCAACGAACGATTTCTCCTCAATAAGCACTTGCAGTATAAATCTCATCCCAACAACGGTTAATAAATAAACTGGATTTCGCTCCTTAATCATTGCGTGCAGGGAAAGAAGATAATTGTCAATGTTAGCGGTTCCAAAAACTAGTTATCCGAATTCGACCATTAATTATCGAAACGACTTATGGCTCCGGAAAGTTCCAGAGTGTCAACCCATTTTGCCTAGTGCTATCTCAGAAACAACTCACTCGAACGACCGAATTCTCTCCATTGCATGCATTGTGGCCAGGAAGATGGTCGACTTTCATCTCGTGATGTTCCACTATCCTTGGTCCCATCGCTCCATCCAACCACCGATGCTTTGCAACTGGTACAGATAAAGATAAATAAAATAAAACAAAGTTGACCTAACGGTGGTTATCAGTGGCCCTGATGATGAGCACCGGTCCCCACCAGCACCTACGACAACGTTTATATGCAGGAACCATGGCGAAGAAACTCAGTGTTTAGTAAATAGCGCGAAGTGAACATAGCAGAAGCCAGTGAAGTAAGAGTGAGTTCAGACGGTCTTTCACGATGCTGAGGAAAGCATTGATCTTGGGCGCCTTGGTTACATACATTTCCTGCCAGAGGTTCAAGTAAGTTTTTTTTTGGAGCATGCATGCAAAAATAATGTGGTTGAAGAACGTACAACAAAAATAGACACTAACCCTGGATTGTTTACTGTAGATTTTAGGCAGAATGTGCTAAAATGGAATTAGCTAGTTGTTAGCACCTAATATTTACAAAGCATAGCAGCTGCTAAACCAATTTAAAATTGGAGGCCCAAACGTTGTATGATAGCAATCATGCAGAACATTAACACCACATAAATACGAGAATTTACCAGAACGTTTGAAATATTTTTCCATAGATAATAAGTTCTGTAACGGCAACATTCAATGTTTTCGCCTACAGTTTTAGCAAAAAAGCTGTTTGAATCATGAAAATATTTGCAAAATTATATTGATGCTAATTTAATTAGATGTAGAGGTATGAGCCTGTATATAGTGCGCGTATAAAAACTAAAACAACAAGGTCATTAGTTTTCGGACAAAATCTTGAAACAAGTCGTTTTTGATTTTGATTTTGATTTCAATACACACCTTCTTTGTGTCATAGTCGTATTTAAACACTCATTAATTTTTGAGACTTATTATTGGTGACTACTCTTTTTGTTATCTTGTACTAAAATTTTAATTATATACCTAATTTTGGTTAACCGTATTTTTTTTGACCGTGATTGATGCGTCTCAACCTAAATTTTGTGAAACACGAAGAAATTCATGACAAATTTGGGCAGTAATTTCTTGTTTCGCACGATTAGTTTACGCAACAAATGCAAAAAGCACAAAAATATTACACCATTTCATGAAAACTAATAATTTAATTTTTTTTTAATATACCTATGTATTTCAAAATTATTTAAAAAAAAAAACAAAACTTTTGAAATATGTGTCAGCAACAAATCGGAAATATTCTTATTGAGGTCGTCAAGCCATGTATACAACAATACGTTATTTAGGTTTTAAATGTAAACCACTTAAAAATTAAAATATGTTTCTAGATACCAACATGTTAATGTGTTAATGAACACAAATTTTCCTGTTTTTAATGACTCAGTGTCTTTTTAATGCCAGAGCGTAAGATCAGGGAAGTATTGTACCGAGAGAGCTATAAAAACACGATCAAAGCCAGCCATGGATTTTTCAAGATTAGTCTAATGACAAAATTTTTGTCTTAACTTAGATTTGAAAGTTTTAGTTGAAAATGCAACGATCAAAGACAAACTTTCAAAAACCCATAAGTGTCTTTGATTATGTATTTTATTGCTCTCTGGGTAGTAGAGTCACTTAAACATTCCACGTTTCTCGGTGCTTTTATCTTGTAGGAAATGTCAGTGTCTCGTTTTCGTCTGCCAATTTATCGTGTTGGTAATTGTGTCAGCAGATAATGTCTCAGTGTAAATCTGCGGAATTGATTACTTTGAATTTTTGTGTGTTCCTTAAAACTGTTATATATGGTAAAATCTTAAAGAAAATTTGTTTATTTAACGTAGTTTAAAAATGTTGCCAAGTAATCAGAGTTCTTTCAAACCCAGTGCGTTATGAAAGAAAAAAATCAATTTGATTATAATTTACTTAAAAAAAATTGTATAATTTTTCGAAGAAGCCGTATTTGTTCGACTGCGAGGGAAGTTCTGTCGAAATAACCTTCGCCAATTTTTTCCATAAACAACGCTGTGAACTAAATAACTCATGTTTTTTAAATAAGCAACAGTTGTTAAAACATTTTCTTATGTAAGATATCAGAGTTGTTTATTGCCATTTAAGTGAAAGACGCATCTAAATTATAACAAAAAATGCAGCTGACATTTAGTAACATGGTGGTGATTTCATTACGTAAAAAATTAGGATCAGAGATAAAATACACATTTAGGTATTACAGTGAGAGGAGTTGTTGCCTTTTTCAAACAGCTTAAGCGCCACCATACAAATTTGACAGACATAGAATTAGTCGAGTCCACTAGCAGAAAGAAGCGCAAAATTCAGAGCCATCTTATATAAAATTATTTTAGTTAACACCAGAAACAAATGAGAAGTCCATCAGGGTCATAAATTTCTATCCAAAGAAGAGCCATTTCGCCCCATTTCCTGTTTCCTTATTACCCTTCTGACAAATTTTTATCACAGTTATACAAAATTGGCCCCACAATTTAAATAAATTATTCAGTCGTTCTTTCTTTGCAAAAAACTAATCCTGCCTTTCGAAAATCCTATGATTAAGCAATTAGCATAATCGCTCTGCATTAATAATGCGGAATCGTTTTTTAGCCCAGTATCTAAAATTTGGCTGCAGTTGCCAAGTGAACGGCAAAAGGAAACGGCATAATGTGCAGTAACAGCAACCTTGGGAGTTCGTTTAGAGAATTTGCAGACTATATTTGTGTCTTAGTTTTATGGCACACAATAAACATACCTTCCTACGATTCTAACAATATATTCGCAATCCACCAAAACGTGTTGGCAAACACCTTGCGTTGGAAAGTTAATGTTCAAGTCTTGTAGACAATTGGTCACTTAGATATGATATAATCACGGCAACGAAAATAACACCGGATGTGCATAAGCAGGTAAAGGTAAATAGGTATGACACGGATTTGAAAGCATTTAGAAAGGTTGTTTTGTTTTTGTTATGTAAGATTTTTGGCAGATGGCCTGTTTTTATTATTTGTTGTGTTGTGAGAAATGTTCTGGGTCGCGGAAGACACGAGATGGATTTTAACATTTAATTTCGAAGTTGGATAATTAAACCAATTTATTGTTTGAATTACAACTAAGTATAAATTAGCCGGTGGGATCCTACTGGCCTCACTAAGAGTGACTCACAATTGGAGATTGTATTAACATACAATAAATATTTATAATCAATTACACAACAAAACGCTAATAAGACCGGCTATTCTTTAAACTTATCTTGGGCGACATTGTCTTTCCTGGTGTTTTTGCAATCAAGTTTCTTGAAATTATTGCTGTTTCGGTAAGCCGCAACTTCGTGACATTGTTGTATTGTGGCTACAGTTAATGTGATAATGTAATTAAAAAAATGTTTTATTTCAACCAGTACGCTTTTGCAAAGGTTATACACGATTTCTAATACACAAGGAATCCTAATTAAGGTTAAATAATCTCATTTTGTACTAAATCAGTCATTTTCACTTTAAACTCTTTAATCATGTTGCTGAATTAATTTTTTTGCTATAGTGAAACTCGTAATGTCAATAAAATGTTTAATTTATTGACTTAAAGCGGGTTTAAAAATTTACTGGATGTTTGGTTTAAAATGTTTATCCGCATTAGCGAGGTTACTTATTTGTTACGTATACGTTTCAAAATAAAACAGTGGGTATATAATTTGACACATTAATGGGTACTACACTCACTACTTTCTCTGGAAAGATTTAGTCCTAATTGAATTTTATTGTTAATTAATATTAAATTTAAAATATTGCTTGTTTATTTGAGTAAATTATTATTCGTCAAAATTTTAACGGAACTATTTTTTGGCAACAAGCAGTGATTTTTATAGACAATGGACCTAAAGGTTAAGCGTCTGATCTGTTATATGATATATGGGCATGACATAATCTGCTTCTATCTGGTGATATATCATAAATATTCATAAACACATAAATATTATCAGTTGAATTAATTAATTCTACAGTAGGACTTCATTACTTCTAGCTACAGTAAGTTGCCTAATTTTGTTTTTTGACATATTTTGATACGGATTTCTTTGAATTTTGGTAAAACTCTAACCCTTATTTAATGGTTACAGAATATTTTAATGAGAATGGTTAAAAAATGGCTGAAATTAGGGCACCACTAATGCTAATGTAACGATTATTTTAGAACGGTGTATCCAAACTGCGCCGATGAAAGCAATTATCTGGAAGAAGGGACCAAATTATGTATTATGAGTTTTGTGTTTATAATCGAGGAATTGACAACACCGTTTAACAAGAATATTAAAAGCTACTCTAAGAATTCCGTGAAAAACAATTAATATTTACATATGTATAACAATCTACTATAATTCAAGAAAATCATTTTTATGCATTCCGTATCAATTATTATTTAAAACATACTTTTTTATACATTCTATAAATATGTATAGGATTCTACTATAATTCAAAGAAAACATGACAACTGCTATTTTAAAATATGCAATTTTAATGATGTTTGGAACACATCTACTTTAATAGTTACATCAAGCTAATTATTTTCAGTTTTGGAAAATTAGATTTAACATGTTCAAACCTAGGTTGATCTACATAAGTAATGCCTTGAAATTAGTACGAAAGTGAAAAATTTCAGTGCTAAAGTGTTTAATAATATGGCAGGATTTTCGTGACTAGACTTTCCTGAGTGGGTTTAAGCTATAACGATCGCCCTAGTCGGATTCCAGGTGAATTGTTTGCCACTCACACGCGGCTTTATGTATGAAACCAGGGCGCAGGTTTTTGGGTGCTTCAAGATGGAATTATTAAAATGTGTTGCGTTACATCTGTTATCTAAATTTTCTGAAATCCTGGAACCACATTAAGAGGATTAATGTTAAATTGGAAAATCCTCACCATAATGGATCATGTTCTCAGAAAAAATGACTAAATAATTTTTTTTGAAAAATATAATTAAAGTGCGTGTCGTATTGATTATGTTTTAGAGGCGTAAATAATTTTAGAGTTTTTAGAATTATTTTCACGAAATTATAGAAATCTTTGTTGAAAATCGCTTATTAGAAAACTAGTGTTTGAATCAATTTATTACATCCATTAAAATTTGTATTAGTCTCAAAAGGTCTCCTAAAAAATTTAATGACGTCAATTTAAACATTTATTTTGTTTTAAAATACGATTTAAATAGGTTTGCATTGACACTTGACAACGGTTTTATGCTAACCTTTGTTAAAATTGAAAGATGGGATTGGCATCATTTGAATTTTGAAGCAGAAAATATGACTAGTGACATTTTGTTTATAAAATAGTATAGTGAGAACACGTATCATATAACCAAAATAATTTATAACCAAATAATCGCATGCATAAATTCAGGTTATAAAACAAACTATATTTCACTTTTCAGTTCCTAAATGATAGAGTTAGTAGATGACTATTTTGTTAATGTGTAATTTACTATCACAGTGAATATAAGAAACAAAGGAGAAAGTCTAGAAGAAATGAAAGCGCCTGTTGAATAAGGTAGCGCGTGCGGAATTAAAAATTAATGTACATTCCGAATTTTTAGGTAATATAATTAACGTTGAATCGAGACTTTCATCTGTACGTTTTTTTTTTAAATGGGTGCTTTATCAATCTTGCCCACATATTTTTGGCTTAGTATCTATTGACAACACGTTTACTTATGTAACAGATACAGAAGAAACTGCATCTCAAATGGGAACCTGTTTTCTATAAAATGTGACATGACCTTCTTAACTTACACAAAATATTACCTTACCACTCAGGAAAACATAAATTAAAGATAAAATCAAGTTAAAATTTGGGTTGGAAAAGGTCTTTTTTTCATTTTTTATGTGTCAAATATATCCTAAGATAATGAGTACAGTGAGCGTAAACCTTTCGCCGCTTGGTCGAAATAAGAACTGTAATCGAACTGTCAAATTGGTGCTATAGATTAGCTTCCACGTATAGTTAATGGTATTACGAAGTTGAGCGGCACAACTTAGAATTTAAGTTTCAGTGGTTAACCTAACGATAAATACGTTTCCAGGTTTCATAGTTAATGTGTGGTCTTCATGTCGCTTGGCAAATATAGGAAGTACGAAAAAAATCATTACAGCTGCATATGCTATTTGAACAGATGTTAAGTGGAAACATCCACATTGACAGTTTTCATTACATATCTGTTATGTAAACTGTTAAAGTTAGCATAAATGCCATAAATAATATTCCTGTAGACTTTTGTACCTTCGAGAAACTCGAGTTTCAAGGTAAACGTGGTAATGGTGGAACATGAAAAAATCTTCCTTGTTTCAAACAATAAAACTTGATTTTAAGAAATTATGGTCTTTTATTTTATCTTTCTATCAAATTTAGTAATATACTCCTAATTGATTAACCTATAAAGATACATATATACGTAGACAATAACCTTGCGGAAGCAGTTATACCATAATTTTTCCTTAACTGATGACACTGGGATACTTCACCATGAAATTAAATTCAAAAATTCTTCCAAAATTACAAAATGTTACACTACTTACCTACCTTAATTGCACAAACATAACCAAATTCACGCAGAATCATATTACTATCTAAATATATCGCAAGATAACGATCTATTTTATACATATTCAACAACCCATGATTCATAAGGCCAAAATTTAAATACCTCTCGTCACCATTATCAAGGCCATTTCGGTCCTACAAAGTCGTCAACAACTTCTCCGTATTAATAAACACCCTTTCTTGCAGCGAATTCCACTTCGCCGACCCTTTTGCGGAATCATGGAACTGGCATAGTCGACATAACTTATTCCCACAGGAACGTGACATTGAAGAAGTGACTGAAAGAGACCGTGAACCTTTGGGCCCGAATTACGAAGACCCCATTCAATCTGGAACCGATGAGAAACCGATACTCCAGCCCAAGCCCCAGAAGCCTTCCTACAATCCATCAGTGATCCCCGGAGGTGTCGTCGATGTTGAGGCTGGCGTCGGCCCAAGTCCGTTTCCGTCAGGATTTCCGGCACCGCCAGAATTTAGTTTCTCCTCCTTTGGAGGCGGGCAGTATCCTGGGGGTGGCGGCGGGCTACTGGGATTAGGAGGATTCTTCGGGTCGCTGTCTGAGGCGAAACCATGGTGGAAAGGGTGAGTGTCATATAGATGTATCTAGGGCTGAAAGAATTTTAGGACGAAATTAATGTGTTGTTGGTATTAAGGTGTTATTTCGATTTGACGATTTCACCCTATACAAATAGTAGAAATTAACTGCAATGAGTCTCTTATCGTTTTTGCAAGATGATGCATTCCATTATGCGAATACAAATCTGTGTCAGGTCAAAGTTTATTGTAGGCGAATTTATCATTTAACATCTGTTACTATAGTGCTTAGTAGGTTACACTATTATAGTTAAGTGTGGGGTTAGATGAGAGTAATCGATTGTTATAATGACGTTGATTTGTCCTTGTATTCGTGATAAAAAATACCAATAGATTTCAAAACAGTGCTATTGTAATACACACGGCACCAGGTGGTGAAGTTGTTATTAATTGATGAAGAGAAAAATGCAAGAATAAGTTTCTTTAGCATTCTTGGAATTCAAACCGTTACGATTTCTTAACTGACCTTAGAATCATCAATTATTTAATTAATTTAGTGCAAATATGCCATATGCTGCTAATAACTGTTCTTAATTGATCGTGACGCCATGACAAAGGTAGTATAAAAAACATACAGTTATTTGTAAGAAAAAAATTGTATATAATAGTTCACTATAATTTGTCTAAAATTTTTTGTCATTTAATCAATGATTTTTGCTGTGGAAATTTTAATTTTTCTCTTAAAGCTTGATATTAGAAGCACGTAGTTCATTTCACGTTTTTATCTGTCTTGTCATTATTGAAATCAGAATTGCAAATTATGACAACTTAATTTATTAGTAAGCATCATGATCATAATGCAACCGGTTTTATGACTTGAATTTACATTTCTTTGCAGAAAATGTGCTGTGTTAAGTTGTGTTAGTCGCAATGTTGCGTTATTTAAATGTGCATTCTAAATTTGCATCATGTTATTTATGAATTGAAAAAAACTGTAATAAGTTCTCAACTTTCCAATAAATTGCGAATTTTGAGTTAAATTTTTAAATTAAATGTTATTGTCAACCATGACAATTTTGAGTGACAGTTCTGCCAATTTCAAGCAAAATTTGTGGATACCAACTGAAACAGTAATTGTCGATCACGCTGTATTTTACCTTTGTATATTTACCTCGATGTTTATTTTATGTTGTAAATTTCGCTTTATCTATCACTATCCGAGAAACTAAATTCTGAATCAAAATCTGATTTATAATCAGAAGTTGGATTTGGTTTTCCATTCCAAAATAAAGTAAGAAATTTTTGAGGATTTTTAAACCCTTCAAAAACTACCCACAGACATTTTCTTGTAAACTTCTGATTGTTGAAGTTATTTTTTTAAATCCAACAATATTTCTAGAATGATGATAATATAATAATCAAAATTCATTTTCAAACCGAATTTTTAAAAAAATATTGGTCCGAGATTAACTGCACGTTATCTTTTTCGAATTAGTTCGTCGAAATATATTTCCCATAACTTTTTCAGGATTTTTAAAAAACTTTTCGAAATTGCCAAAAAACATTTTCTTCAAATTTTGGTTTGTTGAAGTTATTTTCGGCTTCCTTTTTCCGAAAATTCGATCAATTTTTCCAGAAGCAATAAAGATTCTTAAAAAATAGATTTTCAAACCGAATCTTTCAAAAAATTTTGATCGATCGTTAATATACATGTTAGGTTTTTCGAATCAGCTCCTCAAATGTATTTCTGAGAATTTTTTTGAAGAATTTTTACGAAATTTTTTAAAAATCTCAATTTTTTAATTCCGTATGTAGTTTTTGAGCGTTTTTCGAACTCCAGGGATATTTAAAAATTTTCGTTTTTGAATTTTTCCAAAATCTTGGTTTGAGACAAAAAACAAGCAATGTTTTTCGAATCAACTCGTTGAAATATAGTTTTTCCCTGAATTTTTTCGGGATGTATAGGCAACTTTTCCAAAATTTCAAAAGAAAAAAGACATTTTCTTTTAGATTTCGAATTGTCTAAGTTATTGTGATCTTCATTTCTTAAAAAATTATAACTATTTTTTCAGAATCGATAAAATAAAAAAAGACAATTTTCGAGATATTAAAAAATTGCACTTTTATTAAGCCGAATTTTTCGAAAATCTTGCTTTGGGACCATCAATACGTTGTTCCTCGAATTGGCTAGTTGACATGTATCTTCCAGAATTTTTCAAGGATTTTTAAGCTACTTTTAATTTTTCGAAATACTCGAAATCATCAATACATTATATTTCTGGAATCAGCTTGTCGAAATATAGTTTACACAATTTTTTTGAGGATTATTAGACAACTTTTCAAAAACCACAATTTTTCAATACTCCCCCGTATGATTTTTTTACCGTTTTTTGAGCACTTTCGAAAATTGCCAAAAATATTTTCTTCCAGATTTTGATTTGTTGAAGTTAATTTCGGTTTTATTTTTTCGAAAATTCCAACATTTTTTCCAGAAGCGATACAATAAAAAAGACAATTTGCAACATATGTATTTCAAAAAAATATTTTCAAACCGATTTTTTCTAAAATCTTTATCCGGGTTCATCGACACGTTGTTTCCGAATTATCGAAATGTATTTCCCAGAGTTTTTTGAGAATTGTTAGGCAGCTTTTAAAAATCTCATTGTTTTACCCTTTTTTGAGCTCTAGAGGTATTTAAAAATGTCTATTTTCAAACTGAATTTTTCGAAAATCTTTATCTGGGACCAAAAACACGCAAGTTTTTTCGAATCAATTCGTTAATATAGTTTTTCCCAGAATTTTTTGAGGATTTGTAGACAACTTTTCCAAAATTCCAAAAGAAAAATGACATTTTCTTTTAAAATTGTTTAAGTTATTTTAATCTTAATTTCTTCAAAAATTTCAACAATTTTGTCAGAAAGGATAAAATAAAAAACCACAATTTACGAGAAATTAAACAATTTAATTTTTATTAAGCCGAATTTTTCGAAAACTTTGTTCTTGGACCATTAATACGTTATGTTTTTCGAATCAGCTAGTTGACATGTATGTTTCAGACTTTTTTGAGGATTTTAAGCTACTTTCAAAGATCTCAATTTTTCAATTTGTATGAAGTTTTTTTTACCCGTTTTCTTTGAGCATTCTTCAAAAACTACCCAATAACATTTTCTTGTATATTTCGAATTGTTGAAGTTGTTTTTGGATTCATTTCTTTGAAAAAAACATTTCCAGAATGATGATCATCAAATTTCATTTTTAAACTAAATTTTTCAAAAAATCCGTGATCATCAATATATAATTATTTCTCGAATCAGCTAGTCGAAACATATTTTCAATATTTTTTTTTTCAGAATTTTTAGAGAACTGTTCAAAAACCTCAATTTTTCAATACTCCGCCATCCGAATTTTTTTATGGTCTTTCGAGCCCATCGTTCGAAAATTGCCAAAAAACATTTTCTTGCAGATTTTGATTTGTTGAAGTTATTTTCGGCTTCATTTCTTCGAAAATCCTAACAATTTTTCCAGAAGCAATAAAGATATTTCACGAATATACTTTCAAACCGAGCTTTTCAAAAATCTTGATCGAGGATCATTAATATACTCGTACACGTTGAATTTTTCGAATCTGCTCGTCAAATGTTTTCCCAGAATTTTTTGAGGATTTTCACTAAACTTTTAAAAAATGTCAATTTTTTAAGTCCGTATGAAGTTTTTGAGCGTTTTTCGAGCTTTGGAGATATTAAAAAAAAATATTTTTTCAAACTCAATTATTCGAAAATCTTGATCTGAGACCAAAAACACGCAGTGTTTTCCGAATCAACAATAGGCAACTATAGGCAACTTTTCCAAAATTCCAGAAGAAAAAAGACATTTATTTTTCTTTTAGATTTCGAATTGTTGAAGCTATTTTGATCTTCATTTCTTCAAAAATTCCGATTATTTTTTCAGAATCGATAAAAAAATGACAGTTTTCGAGATATTAAAAAAAATAATTTTTATTAAGCCGAATTTTTCGAAAATCTTGCTTTGGGACCATCAATACGTTGTTCCTCGAATCAGCTAGTTGAAATATATCTTCCAGAATTTTTTGAGGATTTTTAAGCTACTTTCAATTTTTCAACTTGTATGAAGTTTTTACTGTTGTCGTCGAGCACCCTTTAAAAATTTATTTTTGGATTCATTTCTTCAAAAAATCCAACATTTTCATAGTGGTTATCATCAAATTTCATTTTCAAACTGAATTTTTCAAAATATTCGAGATCATAAATACGTTATACATATTTCTCAAATCAGCTCGTCGAGATATATTTTCCATAATTTTTTTAATGACTTTTGGACAACTTTTCAAAAACCCAAAATTTTCAATACTCCGCTGCATGAATTTTTTTACTGTTTTTCCAGCACCTTTCGAAAATTGCCAAAAAACATTTTGTTGCAGATTTTGATTGGTTGAAGTTATTTTCGGTTTCATTTCTTCGAAAATTCCAACAATTTTTCCAGAAGCGATAAAATAAAAAAAAGACAATTTACAAGATATTTAAAAAAATATATTTTCGAACCGAATTTTTCTAAAATCTTGGTCCTGGGCTAAAAGCACAATGTCTTTCGAATCAATTCACTGAAGTATAGTTTTTAGTATACGCTTCCAAAAACACCTATTTTGCAGGCTCATTTAAGTCCGTAAAATGAGTTTTGTTCGGACTCAATCCAAAAAATAGTTATTTTTCGGACTAGTACCTAAAGCACAGTATGTTCGGACTACTACTAAAATACAGATTTTGCGGTCTACTCGTTGTTGTTTTTCGGAGCTTTAACTAAAAAATGTTGTTCGTAACACGCATCTAAAAAAAATTTTACGGACTCATCTGCTATTCCGGACTCGGCTGCACCTTGTCCGTAAACAACAATGAGGATTTATAGGCAACTTTTCGAAAATTACCAAAATCAATTTTTTTGTAGATTTCGATTTGTTGAAGTTTTTGAGGGTACTTCCAAAAACATTTTCTTATAGATTTCGATTTGTTGAAGTTATTTTCGCCTCCTTTTTTACGAAAATTCAAACAACTTTCCCAGAATCGATTAAAAAAAACTTTAACTATAGAGGTTATATCTTCAAATATGAAATATCAGAAGCAGAAAGGATTTTATTTTAATTTTTCTTTTGATACGATGGTTTAGTGCCTTTAACTGACCTAAAGGTTAACTGTTCTTACTTAACAGCCATTGAAATGACTTACACAAATCTATGGACAACCGTTATTAAATGAAGCATATTCGTTAAAAAATAAGTAACTGAAATGAAGAAAAATAGTCGGAGAGGTCAAACGTTTTATTACTGAACTTTAACTTAAAAACAGTTTGAAAATTAATGTTGTCAAAATTATGACGCTTATCAACCGGATACAAGACATATTGGGAAGGTGAAGTTCGGTCATATTTTTACTTCTCGAGCGTAAGCTAAGGAAGTATTGTAATCCAAAGATTGGCTTCTCGAGTTTTCATGACCTCTAGAATAAAAATAGGCCCCGTTTCCGTCCGTCCGTCTGTCTGTCTGCCGCCTGTCGTCTGTCGGCTGTTTTAATTTTTATTCGACTGATAGTCTTCGATTATTGTCAAATTGTATATGTGGTGTGTTAGGAATATAGTGTAAAACGATAACCAAAATTTGTCTGTCTGATCATCCCCACCCACACTGAAATGACGTCAGTTTAAAATTTTACTTACATAATGCGTTCCACTCAAAAGCAGTGGCGAAGTGTGGGTGATACATTAATGAATTCAGAAAAGCAAGATCTACAAGAATCTCTAATAAAATATATATTGAAAAATTGTAAAGTCGCTTAATAATACCTCAGTTAATAGTTTAGATAATTTATTTATTGGTCACTTGTAATTAACCAATTTGTTTCCAATTTGTTTTTTTTTTTCGTATATTGAAAGAAATTATCCTGGAAACGGGTCATTTAATTATGTTCTGTCCACGACTAGAACGACTTATTTTCTGGTGAAAGGTTTGTTCGGTTCGAGTGTTTCTTAAGCGAATTATTTTTACAAAGCATCACGATTTCGAAACTTTTTATTATAATAGCCAACCGTTTTGAAATTTTAATATCTTATATCTATCTGTGTTAATACACTCAACTCGAACCGTTTCCATTAGACCAGTAGCGGTTTATTAAATTTGCAGAACAGCACTACCGTCTGAATGTTAAATGTATGTTAAATAAATGTTTCTGTGTAATTAAACGTTCATGTCGAGCCACGTAACAACCTAGCAGTAAATACGCAAATGAGACACTTTGTGGGTTAATTGATTTGTAAACTTGAACCGTATCCTTGCAAGTGCTGTAATATTTCTGTGTCCATTACGCACGTCAATTTTCCGCACTTCGCTAATTGCTTTCTGTTGTTTCAGTTTCTTTCCATTGCATTGTTCAGATTAATATCTTTCTTTTTCAACGGTATGATTTTAAAACGGTGTTTTCACGGCAAGTGAGATTTGAAAGCGCCGCAGAATCGCACTATGTATTTTGATTCCGGCATTTCTATTTTGAGTATGTAATTATAATTAAATGGCATATGCACAAAGTCACCGCGTTTCTAACTTTCTATGCGAACTTTCGACCGGCGAAATAGAAAAATGGCGCCATGAACTATTTGCTTGCTCATCAAAATATAATAAAGTAAAAAGTAGGTCTTGTGTCGTTTTTATATGTGGATTAAGTTAATTAGGCTCAAGAGAGTTCAGTGAACCGAGTGATTGTCTTAATTGCATAAAAAATTAGCGTACGTGGAAGGTGTGAAATTGTCCACGATGCTGTTAATTTTGTAAACAGTGCGTCACTGCTACATTTTCGTGGAAGAATCGCTAATTGTCGTGAATGGAGAGCGAAAAAAATCACCTCAAAGCCAATTAATTTGTCTCAACTTAACTCGATTATTTTATCCTTGATTGGTTATTATTTTTAAAAACTTTTACTCTATTGTGACAAGGACGCCGATTTCACGGGTACGCAGATACAGATTTGTTTATTCCAGATGTTTCCTTCCTTAAATCCTGTTTTATTGCGGAAAGGTGAATGATTTATCCACTTACGGAGTGTTATGTCACGATAGAGAGTCAGTTACGAGATGACGTGTCTTCACGGTGGCTTAAAGTCATGTAAAAGTTTTTGCTTTGTTAATTTTTTCTTAAATAGTGTTCCTTTGTTGCGAATATTTTGCCCGTGGTTCGTACAAGTCGGTTAATTACTGACAGGAAATTAAATCGTACTATTAGTACGTCCTTTGCAGGGATTGATTGTATAATGGCTCATTCTCTTCTAGAACCCAATTTATTTTGATCGAGTTAATTTTAAATGAGTCATCCGCTACAAAGTTATTGTTTGTGTTTATCATTACAGTTAGCTCATCCGCGTGATATTTTAGAACACTCTAGAAAGTTCCACTGTCGCAAAAACGATATGAAAGATTGGAACTGAAGAGGTGACCTCAAATCCATTTTTTATTGTCAGTGACGTCTATCCTATCACTAATCATTTTCTAATTTATAACGCCACAGAGGATACTGAAACCGTTGACTTCCAGGAGGTACAAAGTACCATAAATGTCTTCGAACATTTATTCCATCAACACAGCTAGGTTTATTATAAAATTGTCTTAATCTTTCAATTTTGAATGAATAGAACCTTCAGATGGTTGTAAATTTTTTGAGGAACCATTTGTCGTTTGGGACTGGAGCACCAACTGTACTTTGCACTCTTCAGTTCAAACTGTCTCTATTTCGATACAATTCTTCTTTATTCTCTTCTCTTTAATCTTTTCGAAATATATACTGTGCGAACGGAAATAAAATGAATTAGAGTTGGCTGTCAAGCTTAAGATGGTATTGTCAGTTTGACGTTAATCAATATTAACCTTTAAAATCACTTATTTAATTTTTGTCACTGACAGAATGATGTGGTGTGTCAGCTGCATTTGTTCTTCCTTCAGTCAATATTTATCACCTTTTCTTTCATTTTTAAATTTGTATTTATGGGTCGTTTCCTCTTTACTTTACTTATCTCACTTTTTGCTTCTTTTCTGCTTGTGTTTATACACTGTTCGATTTTTTCACCACATTCTCATTCTCATGTTTTTTTAAATGTAGAAATGCTTTCCTCGTCCACTTAACCTTTTGCCCAATGTTGTTCTTTCCGTAATTATCTTTTTTCCTTGCTTGACGTTTTTTCTTCAGTTTTAATTAGTTCGAATTTGATCTTGCGTTATTCGTCGGTTGATTTGTGGCAGAATTGTCTATAACACAAGACAGGAAAATGACCATAATTAAAGATTTCACGGCTCAGTGACGCAGATAATTGATCGGTCATGGTCTATTTAAAATTTCAGTCCCAACGTGTGTATCGAGAGAGAAGAATCCGCCGATGACGACGACGACGAAGACGATGTCACAGTAGAAGACCCTCTAGAATCCAAGAAAAACGAAACGGAGACCCAAACCGAGAAAGTCCCTAACTTCTTCTCGACGGCCATCAGCCTTTCCAATTGCCGTCAATCCGCAAACAAGTACGAATGTGTCACCAAGTAAGTAATTTCGTCAGAGTAATTAAGCACACCTTCTAAGTGTCTCTGCGGCTCAGAATTAACAACCACGGCGTCGTAAAAACCTTCACGGTTCGTTACAAGTGCTGTTATGGGTTCCTGCGTACCAAAGGAACCTCAGGTTGTGAGAAACAACTGGAATTGAAGCCACTCTTGGACACCATCAACGACCTGGACGCCAAAGTCTTCAGGAGCCTGATCCAGACCACCGGCTTGGAGGACACCTTCAAGGATGGCAACTACACGGTGTTCGTGCCGACCGACACGGCTCTGAACGAATTCAACGAGAAGATGCTGGAATTGGTATGTAATCGGCGATTGCGGAACGAGGAAATCAGTTTGCGTGTTGCAGAATAATGTCGATTTGAGAGGCGATGCGAAGAACGCTCTTTCTAACAACGACCTGGTACTCAGTCACGCAGTTGCCGGTTTTATTGACCTAACGGATTACGCGAACGAAGACATTATCTACAGGTAAATGATCTGGGATGGCATCGCATTTTGCTGCAACTATTTGCTTTCAGCGAAAACAAAAACAGCTCTATTAGGATCAACACGTATCCGACACAGAACTACGAAAAGATGGTCACGGTGAACTGCGCACGAATTACTAAGCCTAACAACTTGGCCAGTAACGGAATTGCACACTTGATTGAAGGAGTTGCTGTTCCTGCCACGCAAAGCATTCAAGACATTATCAAGGAACACAAAAAGTTGTCTAATTTGAGACAGGTTTTGGAGAGCACGGATTCGTTCAAGAATTTGAGGGATAATGGACACTACACTATTTTCGCGCCGACTGATGAGGCCTTCGATAAGTTGACACCGGCGGTTAAGCAGAAGTTGCTGAGGGGAGATTCTTGTGCTGTCAGTAAGTACTTACGAGTAAAAGTTCTTTTCTAAATTAAGTAGGAAATGTGTGGCAAAAATGATGTTTTATGAGAAGACAAGTTTGGTGTTTTTAGGTCAAAGAGGAAGAAAGCTGAGACCACAATTGTAAAAAAATTGAGGTGTAATCGCATTGAATTAGATTAATTTTTGACGTGCAAAAATTTTGAAAAACAAAGACATTGTCGATCGTATTTACGTTCCAATTCTTCTTTAATGCGCTTTTTATATAGCATCTCTCAGCAATGAGTTTTAAGTGGAAGATTCCGTGGCGTGTTAGTTCACCACAAATATCGTCAACACTACCATAAATTTGTCATTTTGCAACTACTGATGTCAAAATTTAATTTAATCAAGAACATTTTCTACGGTTTAATTCATAGAAACAATCTTTTGTATTTTTAGTGATAAATATTTCAAAGGCATTTTTTGCAGGCATTTGACTGTTCTACATGTCAAAACGTTACTTGTTTTTCAGTTGAAAGTGAGGACAAAATTTTGACCTTGCTTTGTAACGTAGGAATCTTCTTGACCATTCGGAGCACGTCAATAAACGAAATACAAAAATTTTTATCAAAATTTCTCCAATCACGTTAGCATTATCTAGACAAAAGTAATAAACTGAGGGAAAATTCCAATTAACTCTTCTTTATAGTTACCTTAGCTAAAGATCCTTCTACTTCACCAGTGACATAATAGGGGTTCACCAGTGGCGTAGAGGGACAATTACAAGAATTAATTACATTTTAGTTTTGTCTACATAATGCCAACGTGGTTGGCGAAATACGCCGACAAAAATTTTGACAACAATTTTTTGTGTTTTCAGAATACATATTTTTAAAATGAGCCTTATTCCAGGAAAAATTTCACCAGTTTCTTGTGTTGTAGTCGAAACACATTTTTAAATTTGCTCACGTACACACATCGTTTTTTTTTTTTCTTTAAGAACATGTAACAATTTGTACAGATTTTTGTTTGCAATGCCAATTAAAAAATATACAAACTCTAATTTCCGAAAATGATCATTTTATTCAAAGTCTGAACCGTTATTCGTCAGACACACTAGAACGATCCTGCTACAAATTTTTCCATTGCTAATACCATATGAAGCAATAATTACCGTCCACCTCATTTTTTACGTCTTTATATATGCTATCAGTTGAAAAATCGTGTAGACGAAAATTTCTTCTTTGGCATAATTTTATTCGACATCAGTTACGGTCAATGAAGTTATAAAAACATCAGAATTTTGTTAATGACAAGAGGTTGACGTTTTTATAACCTCATTAACTTCAGCTGAAGAAACTGTGACATTTCTACATTACGGACGTGTAGTTACACCAACCAAACAAATTTTAATACTTCACTTTTTAAGTGTTACCAAATGTTGAGGCGTAAAAAAGCAGTTAATTGGAATATGGTTCATGGATTTTGGTGGTAATATGTTGGAAATAAAATATAATTATTATTATTGTTATTAGATAATTACAAAATATTCTGCCATCGAAAATAACATGAATCAGAGCTGGCGTTAGCCGTTGGGATTTGGGTGGTAACTCTGTCCTCAATTTGACTAGTCATTGTCACCATAACCTTCACTAAATATTTGTTTCACTGGATGTTGACATTGTTTCAAATTTTCGAAGAAATGCTGATTGACGCGGTCGTCTGACGGTACAGTATGTTACGCAGTTGTGCAAAAGTATGTACCATCCATACAATTGGTCATATAGTCAACTCTAATTCCTTTTATTTTCAATCACACCGCATTGAATTAATTTAAAAAATTCAGAACAGTAAAACATAAAAAAAACAACGCTACCATAATCTTGCCATTCACTGTAGTTACGATTTCATACTGAAATATAACTATGTTATAAGGAAAAAATTAAAACGTGGAACAAATTCAATTTATAATTCAAGAATAAAATTTTTCCAGCTAGCAATTTCTTGGCTGTTCCTTTAAAGTTGTGACGACAATTTTATTTTTACTTCCCAAGCTAAGGAAGAATTGTAAAAGGGTTCATCCCGTCAATCGCTAATTTCATTTTTCTTGACGTTTCATGACTTCTATAATACGAAAAAGTGGGTTCCCTACTTTCGTCTGTGTGGGTTTGTCGTCTACCGTGGGTTTCAATTTTTTTAAACAATTAATCTCCAAAACTAACAGATGCTTTTTGTCATATTTTAGATATATGGTAGGAATATCGTGTAGATGATAAAACGTTAACTAAAATTTGTCTAATAATTCCCACCAACAATTTGATGACCTCATCTTAAAATTTTAATGGTAAATGCTGTTTATTTTATTCATATTTAACGAGATATAGAACTGTGAACCTATGTGTGAAAAAAGTCGTTTTTACTTCTCAAGCGTAAGCTAAGGAAGTATTGTAATTGAGTCTCTCGAGCGACTGGCTACTTTTATATTTTGTCGACGTTTCATGACTCCCAGGGTACGAAAAAATAGGCTTCCGTTTCGGTCTGTCTGTGTCGATTTTTATTAGACAGATAATCTTCGAAACTACCAGACCGATTCTTGTCAAATTTTATATGCATGTTAGGAATATCGTATAGGTGATATAATTTCCCCAGTTCTAATTCGGTTTTATGATGTGTAAACGTTAACTTTCTTAACAATAGATTACTACTGCCAGTCATCATAATGGTAACGGTATGGAATTAGAGCTGGGGAAACTATAAAAGCTATAATAGTTAATTTTTATTAAAATTTAATGTAATAAGATATTTCTGCACTTGTTGTTTATGAATCCGATAGCTCTGAACTCTTGCAAACGCAAAGTTTATCATAAGCAAGGTAATGTTAACTAAAATTTATCTAACTCTTTATATTTTTGATAGAATTTTCATCTCATCATTAGATTATCGTCAATTTGAAATTCTGAGTTGAAATACATACAAAAATCAAGGACAAACTTTCAAAAAATTCATGGCTGTCTTTGATTATGTTTTTTACTACTTCTTCTGTATAAAAAATACTAATAAAGTCGAAATTTGGTAACGAGGACAATTTTTTTTCTAATGTTTTTTTTAAATCTGCCTTTCCATGCTTGCACATCGTTCACATTTACTTTACTTTGGCTCTCACAGTTTAGACTATTAAATTCAATTTTGTAACAAGGTTGTTGTTACGTAACATGTATATCGTAAATAAATTCACCTCACTTACAAAAAAAGTAGGATAAGTTAGATTGCTGCACTAGTTTTTTTACACTTCTACTTAATTAAATATCCTTTTCATGATTTAAACTGAAAAACACATTCTGAATTCTTAGATAAAATTTTTTGCATTACGCGAGAATTAACTCATTATTATCACACTGGTGTGATTTCACAGCTCGACTGGCGCCTCATTGTGAGAAATTTCACACTCATATCTTACTTGTAATGTGAAAAACTGTTGACTAAATAAGGTTAAATCTGTGTCGCCCAAAATATAACCAATGGAAACACATCTAAGTCGCAGAAAGTTTCATTCCAATAAATAAATGTCATATTATACCAAGAGAACAATAAAAAGCACGATCAAAGACAGATGTGAACTTTTGAAGATTTGTCTTTGATAGATTTTTTTCTTGTCAGATTATCTTGAATTTGAAAGTTTGAGTTGAAAATGCAACGATCAAACACAAACTTTCAAAAATCTATGGCTGCCATTGATCGTGTTTTTTATAACTCTCTCTAAGACAATAGTAGATTTACACCAAATTTTAAATTTTACCGTAGGAACTATTTTCTCATTTTTGGTCAGTGGAACTTTGCCGCATATCCATATACCAGTCATACTTATTGCCTCGATGACTCTCTTAAATGTTGTCTTCCCTTTTTGCTATTAACCACTTTGATAAAAAATATTTTCCCTAAACTCCATTTGTCTCTTTGAAGGTATCCTCAAACACCACGTAACTGCCCATACCGTATGTTCCGCCGCCATTAACGGCAACGTCACCACCCACAATATCGAAGGCGAAATCCTCAACCTGGAACGCACCTCAGACGACCAACTCATCCTCGAAGAAAAAGCGAAAATCACAGAAGCCGACGTAATCGCCACCAACGGCGTCATACACCTAATCGACACTATCCTCATACCGGATTCGGCTCTCCACATCAACGCTGCCCTCAAAAACGAGAATTTGACCAAATTCAACGACCTCATCGAGCAAGCGGGATTCACCGAAGACATCGACAATCTCAACAACGCAACAGTGTTCGCTCCATCGAATGAAGCTTTCGAGGATCCCAAGGTTGCAAAACTATTAGACGAGATCAAAGGCGACAGAGAGAAGCTAAGAGATTTGATCTTGTATCACACTCTGCCGGGGCAATTGCAGTCGTGCGATATGAACAACAATGCGGTTCTGAAAACAAACGATCACGATAAGGAGTTGAGACTCAACCTCTATTCTACCGTAAGCATTGTTTTAATACTAAAAAATGTGGTGTATATTGTGTTTTTTAGCTTCCATTGTTTACCAATGTTATAAACAGAGCAACGATCAACTGTGCTAGAATCACTGGGTTCGATGAAAAAGCTTGCGGGTCGGTGATCCATGAAGTCGACAAGGTTCTTTTACCTCCAAGTCAGAACATTCTTGACCTGATTCGGGACGATCCTAAGTACACTACTTTAAGTAGCATTATCAAAGATACTGAAGTCGAGAAAATCCTGCAATTGAATAACCGATCGGTCACGTTCTTGGCACCAACTGATGAGACTTTTGCTGCGATTGATGAAGCTGATTTGAAGACATTGAAGGAAGATAAGGAAAAAGCTAATGCTGTCTTGAAGAATCACATCTTGACGGGTAAATAATCGCTGTGAAATAGTGTACATTGTTCTATTCTTTTTTTTTGCAGAGGTACTTTGCTGTTCGGGTGTAGGACCACAATCTTGGGGCTTCAGCACATTGGTACCAACTCTTTCGCGACAACACCATCAAGTAGGAAGGACCGGAAGTCATCAGATTCGTATCGGTAGGGCTGTAGTGACAAGCTGTGATAATTTAGCTACTAATGGTGTTGTTCACACTGTTAACAAAGTATTATTCCCTCAAAGACCCACTTCTCCGAGCTTTGGGGGATTTTTTTTGTTTGATATTTAATTCGTTTTAATGTGTAAAATTAATAATGTGTAGGTCTAGATTATATTGCAGAGTGATATTTTAAGTTAGGTACGACTGAAGAATGTACTTTTGCTATCAATATTTTTACAAACGCACTATGTGACTCTATTTTACTTATTTATAGTAATTTATAACAATAATCATGTAGTAGCTGACATTTATAAATAAAATTACTTCGAAAAATCACTACAAATTTATTAAACTCGACGACACGTTAAAAATACATGGCTGGGTGAAATTGATGAAAGTGACAGCATTTTTCACATTGATGTAAGTTGTGACTAAAGTGCAAAAAACACTAAAAACTATTACGACTACGCAGAAGATTGCATTAATTTTCCTTCCCAAACGACTCTGTTTTTCCACTAAATTAACATAATACATTGACAGTTCACTACTTTCTTCCTCAGCCGTATACACAGCAACCGTAAACCTTTCCGCCGTTAATTGCTTCATGTGTCTACTTTCTAACAGCAACATCTTCAAGTAGAATAATGGTGGCAGAATAAAAATCAATGGTCCGGTTAGTGTGCCTCCAATCAGAGACATGACTAGATCAAATCGTGGTACGGATTCTGCGATCAATACAGCAAGAAAGGTCAATGTTGTTCTTAAAATACACCGGCGGTGATTAAAAACTGCAAATTATATGTTAGTCGACCAAACATTTTTCACAGTTTTACCTTGCCTCGAGGTATGCTCATACAATCTTCCACGTGTTGGAAGAGAGCGCTGTTGCTAACCGCCAGAGATAGGCACAGTTGAAGAGCCACAAAAAATGCAGCTGAATGTAGAGCAACGGTAGTCGGAAGTGTTTCTAGAAGGCTCGCCTCTGTCGATGTGCCAAATTTGATTGCTGCGATTGTGGTGACGATTGAAAACATTCCTAAAGAGGCTGTAGACAAATTGGAAAATTATAGGATTTAAGGTTTTAAGTGATATGTTACTTGCAAATGCACTTAGGACAGCTATATTCAGTTTTGATTTTTCCTGCATGTCAACCTGGATTGTTAAGACGCTGGGGTGGATATCATACTGGAAGGAAATAATCCCGTACGATATAAAAATTAGTTCCCAGAGAGGAAGTTCAGTTTCTGTGTTGTTGGTCTGAGGGGTGTCTTCTGTCGAACTGAATGTTAAGCAGCCAAAAACGAGCAGAAAAACTAGTATTACTATGGAGACGGAAATGGAACAGAGTAATCTACAATTAAAAAGTTTCGAGTACGTAAATTTGGCTTTAAGTTTGATATATAATTACTTCATATCTTTTGGACTTCCCAACCACAAAACTGGACACAAAATCGTTCCTAATGCAATTATCCAGTAACAAAATGATATATCAATGTTGTTGCTAGTCAGTCTTAATCCTAGCAGTTGTAGGTTTTGTGACGCTGAAATGCATTTTTAATCGTAATATTTTGATACGCACCACGTTCACAAATTTTAAATTAACAATACAAAATTGCACGAATTTCCATTAGAACCACTAAAAATTAAATCTGTGCAAATATTTAATAAATCAGAATATAAAATTGTGACCCATAAGTTCCAAAGCCAGTAACTAATAATATATGAAACATTAACAACAAAAAAAGTGTGGTATCCCGAGTTTAAATTTCGCGCTGAGAAAAAAACAACGCCGCGAAATCGCATTTGAAAAGAATAAAATCGTAGGCCCCCTATCGGCCACGTGGTGAGTTAGTTGTTGTTAGTTTAAGTTTAGTTGTTTTGGTAGTTAATAAAAGGGAACGACGACGACGCCACAGTTCCCCCAACACGTGTATCTAATTCTTGCGGTAATTCCAAGCGGAAATATGCGAATTTTCGCCCGACGCTAACACATGGTGAAAATTTGTTTTATTGTTTGTAAATTCACAGTTCATGTTAGGATTTTAAGGTAATCGTTAACTGGTTCTAACACAAGTTTAACTGTCAGAGATTGTTACTCACTTGCTAGGAGATTTCATGAGATTCACTTAGTCAGGACTCATCCTTTGTTTATCAAATTATAATTAATCAAATTATAAATAAGCTTTCTGGATGTCTATACTTAAGTATTACATTATAACACTTCTTAATTCCTCAGTCCTCACACAAGATTGCTAATACTTCATTAACGGCAGTTAAATTAACCTAACGTTGTCCCACTCTGGGAAAAGGACCGTGAAAGTGGGGTAGAATTCATAATATCGTCGACTGAGGCACGGGGGATTAAAAATTTCTCCCCTTAGGCAGTTATTATCATCATACCATCAGCACATCACCGATACATTTTTCTCGCAACGTGGAAAGCTATATCACCGAGAAATATTTTCTCGCAACCTGGAAAATTACATCACCGAGATGGTTTCCTCGCAACGTCGGATCCATTTTGTGTTTATTTATCATAATATTGTTTGGGATAAGCTGGGGACAGTGTACGATATAAACTCTCAAAGCTAATGGTTTTAAGTAATCAGTCACTTTGATCAGGGCATCATTTAACATAACGAAATTCATTGTTTGAACGATTGATAACGTGTGGCATAACGTAACATCAGGTAAATTCTTTGTTCTGACAGCAGCCATATTGAAAGAGTATTTTCAAATCGAGCACATGTTTGAACTGTAAAATCTCGTTGAACAAATTAATAACATTGTGGGTCATGTGGGACGTGCATTTTATTCCTTTGATTTAGACCATTATTTCAGCGCCACAGGATTGATCACATTTCTGGGAGATATATTTTTAGTGCTTTTTTTTCGACGCATTTTTTTTGTGTTTGTTTGGGAGCATGTAAAACGATGGCCCACAATGCAGCTGAATAACTTCACTTTTAAAAATGAACCAATAACTCGCATGTACATAAAATATTAACCTCATGTAATTTTGTTAGCTTTACAGTTTTTCACCTCACGTAATTTTTTGTCTGCACAAGTTTTACTTCACACCAGATCCTTTTTGTTTTATAAATCTTTGCTAGTTTTTTTTGACCACGTAAATATTTTGTTGATTAATGCTTCTATCATATAAATTGTCTGATGACCAATTTTAATCTCAGATAAGAATTCTTTGCTGTTCAAAATTTCACGAGAGTGTATGGCGAATTTAAATGTTGTGTATTATTCTTTTTGAAACTTTAAGACTTGTTCAATTATAGCTGAATATTAGAGTTATAGAAACTGAACATTTAAATGGAATTGAGGTAAATAACACACAAACACGTGGCGGAAGCAAGCGGAGTGCGCGGTTCCTTGTCGAGCTGGCGGTCGCGCCATCTGCACAAAAGACGCATATGGAATATAAGTCAGGGGAACGGTCGGGATGATGTGACGCTCGCGGCTTGGCCCAATAGCCGGGATTTCCAACCACGGGTTTGCGACCGTAAGAGCCTGTTTCCGCGCGGCACGTTTCTTGGTAATAGAGTGGGTGGCATATGCTTGCCGATAGAGTGGAATCACCGTCGTGGGGGGAGAACAGCCACAACCAGGACTCCCAAACTCCGCTCGTGCTACAACACCCCCTATGGGTAATTTTGCTGTGTTCTAGAATGAAATTGATATAGTTTTATTGTAGCTTTTTTTCTTTTTTTTTGTCAGTCGAGGAATAAATGATTTTGTGTCCTCCATATATTTTGTGTTTTATTTAGGTACTTTTCCAACCCCTGGGGGTTCACCACTTGCATCTGAACGCATTCCGCCACAAAAAAAAGGAAACACAATGTAGGGTTCCATTTTGTTAGACGATCGCAGCCAAGGCCAAATTTTTTAATTGTTTTGGTGTTTTCAATTTTTTTTTCACATGTCATTTTAAGGCTGGATGTTTGGGTTAGCACATCATCAATCAAATTGTGTCCTCCCATTTCATTTCACTTCATAATTTCCCATTCGATATTTTATAATAGTTCATTTGTGGTACTATTCTTAACCGTTGATCCATTTTGAGAGAAAGGACTTTAAAAATTAATATCCCTGTGGACTCGAAATGACAGGGGTATTTTACACTTATGTTGTCTTGCGCATTATTGTGCTATTTTTCTTATGAGTTTAATGTGATAACGAGATATTGAGAGTTGAAACGGTAAAGGATCTTGGTGTAGTGTTTGACAAGTCTTATACGTTCGAGTACCACATAGAAAGAATTCTCAATAAAGCTATGAGAATGTGTGGATTTGTTAAACGTCAATGCAAAGATTTTAAAAATATACCGGTCGTAATTAAGTTGTACTGTGCATTTGTGAGATCGTCACTCGAATATTGCAGTCTTGTGTGGGATCCTTATTATTCGTGTTCAAATATACGGCTAGAGAGAGTGCAAAGGAAGTTTGTCAATTTTTTGCTTTTTAAACTCAACATAAACAAAAATTTGTACACCTATGAAGAACGGCTCGAGTTAGTGGGTCTAAAATCATTGGAGTCACGACGGAAAAATGCCATCGTTGTCTTCGGCTACAAAATATTTAATAATTCAATTCATTCTCCTGAAATATTAAGTTCGTTTCGAATAAGGGTACCTAATCATCTTATCCGGGATCCTATACTATTCGAAATCGACTCACACAGGACCAACTACGGAATTCACAGTCCTTTTACTAGAGTGGCACGGGCTTTAAATTCTTTACCATCTACCATCGACATCTTTAATATTTCATTAAATAGGTTTAAACGGGAGCTTATGTATTAAGGTAGGTAGGTTAAGTAATAAGAATGTGTATTTTTAGTTATTTTCAGTTGGACGTTTGTTAGATGTTGTGTTTTTCAAATTTCTAAGATTGCCTGTATGGTGTAAACTGTTTTTGGCAATAAACTAAACTAATGTTCTCCATTTGAATTTGAACATTTATTATCGATTTATTATTTTGATTTAAACTAAATTAACCTCAAGTGAATTCTTGTTTGAAATTCTTAATCGAGAGTGGTATGATTTAATTTTGCTTCTTTTCTTGTATTTATACTTAATATATTTTTATAGATTTTAACTTCAACCGAAATAAGCGCATGGAATGGCGTGTCGAAGGCTGAATGACGGCACCACACATTCAAACTGAGAGCGTATTTTGAATAGGAGTGTTTACAACCCACAGCGTATCTTATGGCCTTCACGAGAAGATGCCCTTCGCGCCGTTGTCGCTACACTGTCCATCCAGTTACTTTAATGACGATTTTTCTTTTTTCTGTGTGTGTTTAAATTTGTGTTATTCAGATATTTGATTTGATTTGTATCATCTGATTGGGAAGCTGGAGACAGCTTTTGGAGCCCCGAAATAAGTCTGTTTATTTCAGTTTTTCCCTCTTAATAATGGGGGAATAAACAATTTGCCCTCCATATTTTGAGGGCATTTTTTCAACGATCATAGGTCAAATTTTGAACGTTTTGCGGGTTTTGAAAATTTTGTTCAGGTTTCAAATTTTGCGGGAAGTTTAAATGACTTTCGTGTTAATTCCATGATCAATGAATCCCAGAATTGTAAAAATTGTCTTCGTAAATTATTACAATGATTTCGACGTGTTAATGAAATAAATAACAAGTAAAAATCTGCACAAAACAAGTTTCATAATTGAAAATTTGTGTTTATCTTGTCAATTATTTCACAGCTTATTTCTTGGATTTTAGAACATACAACATAAAAAGTACTATATTTGATATATTTACTGCTTCATTTTTATAAACACTGAGAAAAAAGTCTTACCAACAATTAAATTGGGGATTCCACCACAAAATATCGTCAAGTTGACCAAAAACGAAACAAAATTCGAAAATGCCGGACCCCACGTGATTTCAGCCAAAGCTGAATATGGATATCTATTTTTCTTTTTTACAGATATATCAATTTTTTCAGCCATTATCCAACATCTGCCCAACAAAATGGCTGTGTATATTTGAACTGAACAAACTACGGTTATTACAAGGGCACCATATATACCTTAAAAATAAAAATTCCACATCTTAAAACAGAATATCTAAATATTATATATATTTTTTTTTGATACTTACCACAGTCTATGATGGCTTTTGGCAACGCTATTACAGGAAACACTCCAAATACATCCACAATACAAATTACAGCAAATAAAACGGATAATTTACTTTGTTTAGTTTTTGATTGATCTAACAATAAGTTGTTTTCACACAAATCCATTTTACCACTCACGTCTGAGCACTGTACAATATCGTGTGTCTTTGCTGCGGAAACGTTCTGATAGAAAGGTTTCGTAAACGACTTCACTGAAAAGGTGTCAGATTTCTAACACATATCTACTACAGATACATCAAGACATATTGATCTTTTTGCACAACATAATACGTGGTAATAGATCTTGTTGCTAACAGGGAAGGGTTCTAATAGAAAAAAAAAAAGACGGAATGTCTACAGCAATTATACTTTTGATCATACATTGTTCCAAGTAACATAAATCAAATCAGCCGATATTGGACACACTTTATACGCATATCAAAAATATTGATAAAATGTGACGAAATCGGTTAATCTGCAACAATAAATAACGATTTAATTTATCCGGAATAGTTGTACTCACTAGGTACTATAAGAGCTTATTAAGAGCACACCAAAAATTTTAACTGTTTTACCATGTTTTTACGGTATATTAAAACAGCTAAAACCCTATTTTTTAGGAAAAATTACTAAAATTTTTTGCTCTCAAAAACTCCCTTGATAATTAATTCACAATATGAAAATATCCCGTCGCCCGATGGACTCGATTACAATACTTTCTTAGCTTAGGCTCGGGTCGTAAAACCGAAAAAAAAAAAATGTATTCATTATGGACTGAAAATTCCTGTTGGAGTTGCGGCCAGTGAAAATATCAGAGAAATACAAAAAATTATATAATTGAAAAACTTTAGAATTTCCTCCATTGTCCGATTTTTATGATTTTTAAAAAACTTCACAAAATTTTTGGGAATTTTGCATTAATTATTATCAAGATAGTTTTTGAGAGCAAAAAGTGAAATCATCATTGAAATTTCTAGTAATTTTTGCTAAAAAAAATTGGGTTTTTAACTTTTTTAAATATGAGCCAACAGAGCAAAATCGCTAACATTTTTGATGTATGCTCAACAGGCGCTTATAATAGTGTAGGTACTTTAGTGTCAACAATATACGTATAATACAAAAATAAAAGTTTCAATTAAAAAAAATGGAACTATTATTCATTTGGCATTTTAATTTAATATCAATTTAAGACAAATAAAATTACCTACAGTTATACATCTAACAATCTACGACCTAAAAACAGTATATTGTCTTGCACTAGTTTTTAGCATTAAAAAAATCGATAACTGAGATGATAAAAATCTCCTTGTAATAGCTCTGCGAAATAACTATACTAACGTAGTTCCAAAGTATAGTTCTTATAGCAATATGTATGCAAAAAATCAAAATTTTCACCTAAACTGCGAGTATTGACTTTACCATTGACTAGTTTAAATTTTTATCCGTATTTGTTCATGTACAATAAAAACTTATTGCTGCTGTTAATAAATAACATGCTGAAAAATACAACATAATGGAAACGATCATTGCATATTAATACTGCATTTGAAGACTATGTACGGCCATAACATTCCCAAAAGACATAACAAAAATGCAACCGTCAAAAAACATTCCTCTTCCCCAATTTCACTAATTGACTAAGTTTAGGTTGGCATTAGGCAAGATTGTAGGACAGTGTTCATGTTTAATTATTTTACAAACAACAGGTTCTACAACGAACCAAAAATCAAAGAATCAAACAAATTGGTAGAAAAATTAAAATGACCAACTTTGAATTATACGACGATTATTACTTAAAAATTGCTACAATAATCTCAGAAGAAATGTATTTTTATCCACGTTTAATTCCCAACAAGGCTTCTGCAACTCCTAAGTAGTAAACCATTTGAGCAATACCAAATAGGGGTGCTATCACGATCATCCTGCAGGCTCCTCCTTTAAAGAACGCTAGTGGACCCTCGTATTTCATAATTTTGCTAGAATACACAGCGATCAAATTTAAGCCCTACTAAGTATTCACAAATTATTAGTACATTGTAGCGTCCATTATACCAGAATAAGCTCTCTCTCCCTCTGCCTTTGTTAACGCTTGTAGTCTGGTCTTTACAACGTCGCAAGGATTTACCGCTAAAGCTGCGAAAGATCCCGCAGCACATCCTGAGAGGAATGAACACCAAAACACAGCCTCGCCTAAAATACGGGTCATTTAACATTTCACGTATAGATAATGGTGGATTCATACCAGAACCGTCCTTTTTTCGTGGTCCTAGGTCATTAAGCGTAGCGAATAAGGGAAAATATACCACAGAAAACGAGACGTCCCTTACCATGGTCGCCCCTATACCCTTATATAACCCAATTATGCCGTGTTTTTTAAGCAAGTCTATAGCTATTTTAGTCGCTGTCATTTTAGGAATTACTTTTCCAGCTAAAATGGGAGAATTTTTCATAATACGACACTATTTTGTTAAATACCGTATTTTTGTATGTTAATAAAATTTTACAACCTAAAAGCAACTAAGCTCGTAATTCTATAGGTTAGAAATTGCAGTTGTCACACCGTGAACAGAGGCGGATTTGTTCCTCTCTGTAACGAATATAATTGAGGTCTGTAAGAGTGATGGAATATTAACTTATCTCGGCATTTAGTCAAGGTCTAAAGGACCTTAATCGGCTTTAAAATTTTATTAGTATACAAAGATAGAGTGCGAAGAATATATTACTGCTTTTGGCTTGTGCTGCTACACGTCCAGCATCCTGCATTTGAATCTTTAGGAGTTCCATGGGTGTTGTTATGATAATTTGGCAGAAGCCTGCTAGACCTCCGGCAGCCATTTGTCTTATCATTGGAAGAGTTCTAGTCACAAGAAAATGACGTTAAGATTTTATAGACACATGTAGTAGTCAAGTCGGGCCCAATTAATTTTATTTTATTTTGACAATTACCGCGTATTAAAGAATTGGTCGACGGTTATTTCCACAGAGCTTCCCTCGCTCCTGAACTACAGTACAATAAACCCAGTTTTTTCGAAAAATTATAAGATTTGATTTTGAGAATTTTTTTTTGACAAGTCAAAGTGTAATGTTAATGTAAAGGTAAAGAAGTGTGCAATACATTTGTCAGGTGAGTTTTACCATTACAAAATTTTGTGATGACGTCATCAATTTTTTGGGTAGAGACAAACCAATAAATTTTGATTAACGATTTACCATGATTATGATAACTTGCAAGATTTTAGAGCATTCGGCCTCTCAGTTCCAAAGTTAAATTGGAAATATTATTCAATTTTGATTTTTTTCTTAAAAATTGAATGTCTAGGGTGAAAATTCAACACTGATTCATACATCACAAGTGCAGGAGTATGTACCTTATTTTATAAAATTAAAAAACAATTATTACTAAGTAAATTTTGGAGATAACGTCATCCCTTTGGTGGCGGGGATGATTAGCCAAATTTTGGTTGGCGTGTTAGTATCTATATGATATTCTCAATACACATACAAAATTTGACAACAATCGGTCCACTAGTTTCGGAGATTATGTGTCTAATGAAAATTTGATACAGGCGACAGACAAATGGAAACGGGAGACCACCTTTTTGTAATCTAGAGGTTATGAAACGTCGACAAAACATGAAAGTGACAAGTCGCCCGATGGACTCTATTACTATACTTCCTTAGTTTACACTCAGGAAGTAATAAAAACAAAGTTTTTGCAATGAAGCTTTTGAACACGATTTAATTTATTTTCACAGCAATAAATATTAACACTTAAATTTCTCAGTTTTATGTAATTAAAACCTTTACATCAAAATCATTTGTTGAACATTAAAAGATGGCTAACCTGACGTGAGCAATCAATACATTTTTTTTTGTTTGTGCTTCTTGGGATTCATCAAATTTTTAGAAAGAAGGAACAAATGAATATTAATTAATAATTAGCGATTTGACATGTTTACGATAACCTTACAAAATTTTAGAGAAAGCGGCTTTGAATTTTCTAAATTAATTTTAAATATTTGTAGCACAATTTTGATTTTTTCCAAAAACCTATATGCGTTAGATTAACACTGCACAACATCCAACCGAAACAAGAGACCTACTTTTGCATATTTTAGGAACAATGAACGTCGAAAGACATATTGCCCTAGTTTACACCCGGAAGAAAAAAATCAGTATATTTTTTTAGGAAAAAAATAAGGTAAATTATAAAAAAACTATGGAAAAATTTCCCTAAACGTTCAAATAGTTATAATGAAAGCATTAGGTACATTTATATGCTTGAAAAATTAACAATAAGCTGTTAAAGTAATAAAATTATTCTTGTTGTGCTACTACTTTAACACTATTTAAATCTAACGGTAATTATACTTCTCTCACTTTACAATTTGCGAAGAATTGCATAATTTCAAGATTTATATTTTTATGTATGTTAAATTAACATTCATAAATAATTTTTATTGTGTGTGAAAGATATTTATTAAATAATTACCGGTTAATGATTAAATAAAATTTTTATGTTGGTAATTCTGAATTATACGCTTGCATGCAAGTACGTCAGTTCACAGTTGTCGATTTTAATATGAGCACGCCTAATAAACGTGTTGATCGCTTGAGACGACGGTAGCTGTCGTAAATGTCATTTTGACAATCAGGTATGCCATTATAAAATTTTAAATAGCTTACTACTTAGTAAGTGTGTTTTATTATAATGGTTTTAACTAAAACTGTTATATGAGATGAATATCGTGTAATCAACAAATAGTATTTGAGTTGGCAATAGAAATAACCAGTTCTGAGAAATTTTTCGTGCGCTACTATTGCCAAACCTGGTTCGAATGGTTGGTAATAATCAATAATAAATTTTAATTTACATTAAATTTCACTGTCAACCCTGTCAATTTTGACAAAACTAAGTAAGGTAGCGTGACAGTTGCATATAAAATTTGTTAATACCAACTGAAACAATAATTGTTGATCATCCCGTATAAACTAAAAATATTCTTTAACAATTTGTCTTTTTGGAAAAATGTGATAAAATAACCAAGTGAGAACCTTATAATAACGGACAAAGTTTGAAAATTAAAACTATAAAAATCAGTTTAATTTTAGAAAAGTGTACGAAAGGGAGGGAAAACCCGCCAGGCAACAAAATAGTGGGCAGTATATTTATAGCGATTTAGTTCTGATTTTATGTTCGAATTTACTGCAGCGGTTGCACACCATTTTCAGGTTCATTTAAAACGGCTTGATCCAGTTGGCACATTCTAATTAGTTTTTGACCAACAGTGTATATTAATTTATTTTTGCAATTTTTACAAAAACGTATTTAAAATTGATTCCATAAAATTATTTTTAACTGTTTACAATAAACCCAAACTAGCAAGACTCACCTTTTTAAGAGTTACCTACGTGAGTAATTATTACGGAAATAAAACCGCTGAATTTTAAAAGGGCTTTTTTCAAATTTTACAAAACAATTTAGATTCCAAAATATTTTATTTGTAGATTTCGGTATATAGTACCTACCTTCATCAGACAAATGAATTTTATGTATCAGTACTCCACAAATAATACTTTAGAACCTAAATTGTGTTTAAAGCAACAATGTAGGCCATCTTTGCGTCCACTTCCAGATAAGATAAAATTAGACTTCGATAAAATTTTAGCTCATACAAAAAATATGCTTGTTTCTAGGCTTCCTGTTTCTTTCCCGCCAAAATAAAATATTATCTTAGATAGAAAGTTACGTAATTCAATCACGCACAAACAAAATGTGCCACTTTAAAACGTTGGGTCAAGTTTATCCTTTACCACTCAAGGATTCTTTCTTTCTCTCACTTCATTAGATTGGCATGCTGATCTACTTAATGATATTCAATGATAAAATTGTTGGGCCGGACTCTATGTCAACAACTGTCGCCTTCGGAATAAAACTGTAATACATTTTACCCTTCTCTGGTTTGTAGATGATGTCGGAAGAAGTCATTAGCGGCCAACTTTATAGCTTTTTCCGGTGTTATTAGTAAGATATTAACAGCCGATCCTCGGTACATGCCGAAGTATCCTTCCGCTTTGTATGTTTTCTTGAAGCAGTCGAACCTAATACAAAAACATGAATAAGTGATCGGTTTAATTCAGTTGCTTTATTTGCTAACATTGATGTATACATCCGTTCTCCATTAGGCCCGATCTGTTGATTTTGTAGTCTGGTTTTAACGAGATCGAGTGGAAATACACAGGATACTCCAATAATGCCGGCGATACCTCCATTGATTATTTTGGGTAAGAGTCTGAAACAATATTGACTCGATACATTCACAGTCACTTGTAAATTTACAGCGTGCTAATATTGTTTGTTTAAACGATACATTATTTACCATGCAATTTATCCCTTTAAACATGCATAAACACAGGAAGCTCTTTTATTGGCTGAATGGAAAATAACTTACGAAAATTCGGTCTGTTTATCGCCCATTGATAGTTTCCACTACAAAGGTGACCCTAAAAACAACCACAACACTTAAGTCGAACCACACAGGATTAGTCACGAAGTTACTACTGTATAGTTGCTAGGATCACTCGAACTCGGGTTTACAACGAGAAATGTGCATTACTGTAGTGACACACTGTCTAAAGTCGGTTTATGTTATCGATCTCGAGAAATATGAGACAAGAGTGATATACATTGCACAATTGATACGTTATTGGTCTAAGTGATCAATGATCATCTTGTAATGTGACCTTCATTACTGAGAGTGGTTTTTGTTTTACTTGTGGGAGAGATAAATTGTGTTTGTGAATGCCGCGCTGTGAAAAAGATTTATAAATTACATTGTTAAATAGTTAAGAACAAGTAATAAAATAATAAAACACACGATAAGAACTTGTGCAGTTATTTATTCAGATGGGATATACAAAAATTTTAAGTGGCCATAGCTTGGTAGGTAATCCACGAGCCGTATGAAGAAAATTTTAAGCTTGAGTACCTACAGTAACAATAGACGTCGACGTAAAATTTTCAATTCCGAATTAATTTCTATTATATAAACGAATTCCTTATCAGTATTTTATCTATTAATGGAAACAATCATTTATTTGTTATTTCGGATTGTGTAAAAATATTTTTTAATAGTAACGAAGTTGTGGGAATTCTAGGTTTTGATTAATTTTCATTTTGACCTATCGATATATCAGATATGTCCGATATTGTTTTACAGGAAACAACTCCCATATCATGCCTAATTGATGTATGCGAAAAGCCATGATAAGTTGAAGTGTATACAAAAATAACGACAAAAATTATACTTATCATTTTTTATAATTACGCCTTGATTAAAAAAAATTAAAAAATGTAAAAAAGAAATTACTTGATTGTTTGGTAGGTAAGCAACTTTTTGGGTGAAACTATCAAAGTTTATTTCTTTCTGGCGTCTATTTTGTGTTTTAAAATAATTGTTCTACACTTTGTTGTGCTTGTTTAAATAATTACTGCATTTTTAAGGTCTTTTAAGACAGCTAAGGAACTTTAATTTTAAAATGCAGACCGTTATTTTGGTCAAATTTTGTTCCACTTTGAATGCATTTAGTGATTCATGAACCAATAATGAATAAAATATCCTTCTAGGAAATGGTAAACACCGCTTACGAGTGTTTTATCGTATCGCTGAACGTGTGTGTAATGTATGTTTATACTTCTAGTTGTTGAAAAAGTTATCCAACAAGTGTCTGTTGACATTGGCATGTATTTCGTAAACTTGTTAACTAAAAAAAAAATCAACAAATTGCCGGAAATTGTATTTTGTTTTCAACATGAAAGAGTAGTAATCTAAGTGTATATTTTCATATGCTACTGAATTTCTTTTTAAATTCAAAGTCAAAGTCACCGTTTATCTACGATCAGTTTTATTTGTTTAATAGAAAAAAAAACTGTTGTTTTTAAGTTATACGAAGCAGCAGCGCGACGCTGTTTATTTATAATCTGCTCAGTGCATGTGAATTATTTTTTTAACACACGGCATACTTTGAATTCTAGAATTTTCCATTCTATGTGCTTATAACTGTTTATTTTCGATTATTTAACACTAAAAAAGAATTCACGTAATAACAACGTCTTAATTGTGATAGCCTCATTTAGAAAGTGTTAAAAACATTACCTACTATTATTTTATCAATGTCAATCCTATTACCGCAATTATTTATTTAGTCTCGATTATATGTATTAAATTTATTTGTAATTATTTCAATTATGTTACCTAATTTAATTAGGATTTACAATATCAAATTATTGTAGTCAAAAAGAACATGCAATTGTGACAGAAAAAACAAGTAAAATAAGAAAAATATTCGAAAATGAAGGCATACAGTAAAAAAATAATCATTAGTATTTGATTTTAGTGGTAAGACAGTGGCAGAGGGGCTTGAAACGGTCGTCACACTACTTTATATCAAAAACTACATCTCTTTCTACTTTATTGCAGGTTCAGTAGGTCGTTCAAAGACTCAAAATATTGTTAAACATTCGAAAATTCGCGGTTACGGTGAATCCAAGACTTACAAATCCACGGATACACAGTTTTCCACATTTAAGGGACAAGTTTAGCTTCCCTCCGTTCCATAATTTTTCAACTTCTGCAAAAACCCGAAGATTTACTATGTTCACGACGAATCTAAAACACATGAATATAAAAAAGATTTTCTACGTTTGAAAAATATTCATTACAATGCATCCGCGCGTGGAAAACTGCAGCTACACAAAAACAAATTTTCGTAAAAATTGGCGTTGAGATGTTGAACTAGACGTAATTCCAAAATAAAAATATACACAAAAATTGATTGCAATTTTTTTTACTAATGCTTCACGGCATTACCAAACATATGCTATATGCTAAATAGAAAGCTTTTATACAACGTTGAGATATGTTCTCATTCATGAGGAGGACTGCATGTAAATGTCCTTATCTCAATGTCGACTTACCATATGATAAACACGTGGACACTACCACATATAGTAGATCAAATAGGTATGAGAAAGAAATAACAGATTTCCGGAGTATTTGGAGGATTATATAAAATTTTAACGACTGTGTTTCTACTGGTTTTAAACAGGAAACAAACAATCATTACCTGCTACAATCACGTTTTATGAGTGATTATGTATTTTTAGTTGGCATGAACATACCACACACACAGCAATAAGTATAAACCTATTTTAAAAATTTATTGAGTTACATAATTAAATTTAATTTTACTGCAACATTCAACGTTCGTTTTTATGAAAATTGTACATACTTATTTTTATTTTTTTGCATGCTATCCAAATGGTTACAAGGTCAATTAAATTCTTTTTAACAGGGTTAACAAGTTATATAAACGCAATAACAAATCGAAGAAACTTTTCTGAAACTACTTCATATGCGGCAAATGAACTACCAGACAGAAATATTGATTATGCCTCATTTTTTATCCAAAAAAAGCTAACCTTATTGATTCTTCCACCGGCGGTGTGTTTTCAATCACGTTGTGTGATTATTTTATTAATTATGCAGTGATAACAGGCTCACACTCAGTAGTATTCTTCTACTATAACTAGTTTGTAGCACTACGGTTAATTTTGATTATGACACTTATCACTATTAGCGGACTTTACATGAAGTATCTCGGGTATTATTTTTGGACAGTGTCAAAAACTGTACTACAAACAGCTGTTTTTGACAACAACGTTACTGCGTACAGGAATTCTGAGGAAACCCGCCACCGTTGGTAATGAGAAATTAAAGCGTAGATCGGTAGATGGCGCCGTGGTTTGTAGAGTGACCAACTTTACTTTATTAACACAACATCGACTAATAAATAAACAAATTTAAAAGTGTGATTATTATGATGCAAATTACCGCCATTACATTACATGGCTCGGTAATTACGTGTATTTTACGCCTTTTACAGCCATCGTGATAACATTTATTTTGTTTTGTAAGTAAGGTAGACTAGTAAAGAATACATACCCAAGACAACCCGTACCAGACGTTATTTTCAGTTAGTATCTACTCCACAAATATTTGGTGTGGCATCCTTGAGAACCACACCCTATTATTTTTTAGAGAAAATTTGAAATTCTTATGTAAATTTTATTCAAAGTTATCAATATACTCTTCGAAAATGTTAATTTTGATATACGACACTACTTACAATAGAACGGTGTGTGGTAGGACATTTGTTAACCCTTGGCCTCCCAAAAGTCCAAATGTGGTCCAGTTATTATATACATATTTTTGGGACTCACGTCAAGAAATAATACTTAAAGAAATGGTAGACAGCATTTTGTGCTGTTGTTACTTTTATTAAATAAATTTTTGTTGTAAACGTTAAAAGTGATTCTGTTTTAAAAATTGAAGTTTGCAGTGTTTATTTGATAAATCAACACATCTACGAATTCTTTATAAGTGTATTCTGGGTTGCGTTTCCAATTCCGTCGGTCTCATTATTGGTCATGAATCACCTTGTATTTTCAGCCGTTTTTGAACGCCAGGTTTTGAAAATAATAATTTTTCCGTGTTAATTTAAAAGTTTAAACCAAGAACTTGATATGAATTAAATGTAATAAACTAAATATGACAATGGGAAAATAAATGTTTGTTTTAAAATTACGCTCAAATCTTTTGTCGTGGACATTGTTAAAATCTTGTTATTATGAATTGATTAACCATATTCTATCAATGCCCTATTTCGAAAAAGTGATATTAAAAAACATTTATTTATATTAACCACTAATAGATTAAGATTACGTTTTCAGTATCTTTTTGAAATAGAAGACGATCTTCGATAGGATTCTAGGTCGTATGTTCTTACACATTTATTATAATCACCAGCAAATAACAGATTAGATATAAAATTGCCAAATTTAACAGACTGTACACGTTTCATCCTAAAACTACTTAATTAGTTGATCAGCAATGTTTAAGATCTGTTTTCTCAAATACCTTAAATAATGCGGTGTCTGAATTTGAAATTTAAATTTCGCGCCTAATGAAAAAACGCGTAAACGTATGTTAAAAATTGTTACGTCTAATTTATTTTGTAATTATACAAAAAATGTCCATTGTTTAAACGAAATGAATGGCATTCGACACTGTTTGCCTCCCCCCCCCCCAAGAGCGTAAATAAGAGCAGTTAATTAATGTTTTTCTACCGCCCACGTTTTTTGGTGTTCTAATAGAGCTATTTACGCACGCAAATGACGTCAGAGCAGTTCGTTAATAGCGGAAAGGCGTTCTTTAATAGATCTGGTGTAATTTAGATCGGTAAGATTGGTAGCCATGACGAGAAATGTCAGGTGAATGTCAGTGGCAAATGTAAACTTAAAATTTCCCATATTTCCGGACGCGTAACTTCTTCACAAGACATTTTAACCAATTTTAAATTACAAAAACTCGAATTGATTCGAATTACAGTTGTTGTTGTGAAAATTCGAACCTCAAATATTTCTTGGTTAGTGTCAGACCGACCCATCACCAACTACGACAAAAGTCCCCAGATTAAAAAAAATGCAAATTTCAATTAAATTTTGGGAAAAAACGTGTGCGGTAGAAAAAATATGTAGTATAAATAACTCGTTCATAAGGCCATTGAGGCACTCATCCTTTATATAACTCGCGGCTTCGCCGCTCGTTCTATAAACTTGGATTCGTGCCTCAATATTTGCCTTATGAAACTCGTTCTTTAATATACTATTTTCTAATCTGAAATGTGTAAAACTGTGACTAGTCCATAAACACGTGTAATTTTTGTTTTTATTGCTTATAAATCATATTAAGATAGTTAACTGCTCATGATTCTAGTACAATTTAACTGCAATAATGAAAAATGTTCCTGTAAAACATGTGGCGAAAATTCGTTTATATCGTTATATATAAACTTATTTCAAATTAACCATGCCTCTAAAATTTTGAATGTCTTTACGTACCTAAGTTATTACGTTATCCACACTTCATAAACTTCGCACCCCATTCACGTTGATCCAAAATGAGGACTTTGAAAATTTTCATCAGTCCAACTAATAGGATTGTGGATCAGTGGCATATCGGGTTTAATTTGTGTTTTTTCAAGCTGAATTTGGAGATTGTATTGTTTAGACGATGTAAATAGCTGACCTGCTATTTTCTCGACTATCGTAATTTAAATTTACCGCCATACATAGTAGTAACTTGTGTATTACATCCACGCACTTTAATTTATGTTTCTCTTTTTCCTTTGTGTATTTATATTTGTGATATTCGTAATTTGTAAAGTTTGACTTCATTTTTGAAAGCTAGGGAGGGTTTTTTCAGCTGGGAAATTATATATAAGTTCCTCAGTAACTTACAGTTTTTCTCCCTCAGTAGTGGAAGATTAAAATTTGCATTTTGATTTAACGGCACTTTTTCAACCTCGAAGTTGATTACTTTGCGTTTTGAACACATTCCGCCAAACAAAAAAAGGCCAAATTTTAAATTTTTCGCGGGTTTTAAAAACCTGTTCATATGTCGAATTTTGGCGGGGTTATCACAATACATCTTCACAATATCGAAAATTTTAATAAATGGTTCCCGATTTCAAAAGCTACGCTATGTTCTGCTCGGACTAAATTATAAACAAAATTATCGTTCTAGAAATAACAGCGTAGCGATAAGATTATTAAAATTTTCGCTGTCGCCTATATAACGTGTTTGCGTTATTCTTCGTAGAGTTGCAAAAATGATTTACAAAATTGCAAATATTGATACCTTGTAATAACCGAGACTTTGATACAATTGTAGACTAAATGAGTCATGAAATTGGCGAACAATGTTGACTTACCTTTACTTCCATGAAAATAGCAATTTTTATACTTGTTTTTAAATTCGAAATGAACTACGAAATAAACTGCCTTAATTATAAAGTTTAATAGTTTGTGAGAGCAGGATATTAAAGCCGGATGACTTTGGAATAAATAATTACTTGGCAATTAAAGACATGACAGCTATCTGCCCTATGTTGCCATGCCAGTAATTTAGGACATGCAGGCCCTGTGCGACAAATTTTGTTGAATCAATAGCGGGGTTTTTAACAATAGTGAAAGACATACGTAGGGAATTTGGATTAACGTTTATTTTTCACAAAATTATAAACTTCTTAACAAAAAGTTTATTAGTTTTGATATCTACACAGACGAAAATATATACATTACTAATAAAAGAGTCACTGCTTATATTCTTAGCTATTATTTGGTTGCATGCACTCTAACGATGATACATCGTTAGTTACCTGTAAAATATTGTAAGGATTAAATGAAGCGTGTTACAACAATGTTACCTTTTTTGATGAATCAAAAGCGTATATTATACCATCTCCAGGTTCGTTGGGAAATTCTCTAGGTTTGATATATTTTTTAACAAATGGAGCTAGTAGACGTGGATCGACATCACGAGGATCAGGAGAATCCAGTAATAAATTTATCGAGAAACCAACAAGTACTGATATTAAAACTCCAAGTAAAGGATGCCATAAATAAGACATTTGGAAAAATTCTTCTCTACAATATAATTTTTTTCGAAAAAATATTTTAGTTTTTAAAACTTACCCCAAAGTTAACACACCAGAGGTATTTGTCTGGTCTGTGAAAATCTGTTGTGGAACAAAGTGGTAACGGCATTCTGTAGTAGCCAGGGACTTCGTGGGACTTGTGAAATTATTGCCTGCCAACGTATTGAAAATTAACCAAGCCATGAAACATAAAGAAGATATTCCTCCGATGAAAACACCCTAATAATTTTATCTTTGAAAGTTTATACAAGTAAACGTAAAATGGAAAATGGTATACTTTTGTATTTATCCATGGAAACATTATGCCCATTATGAATAATCCTAGTGATGGACCTCCAGTTACGGAGAAAATAATGCTGTTTATCTGCAATGATACATACTGTGTTATTTAGCTATCAAAATCATGTATTATTTTCCATGGCCTCTCAAATCGTCTTAATTATGCGTGTGTGCAATATTCTGCCCTCGTACTGCCGCGCTAGCGACCGATTATATCTATTTAATCGGTAAATATAGAGTCGTTCAGACAGATCGACAAACAACTGGGTTCTCCTTTTTGGTTATAATCAGGCCCTGAGTGTATTACAAATAAACACTACTCTCTTAAAAACAGACAATAGATGTTGACCTACAGTGTACTCGTACCATCCAAAAATCGGTCTTACAGTCAAATCTAATCCGTTTTATTGTTTCAAAATAATGACATATTTAATTTGTGAGTAATATGAATACACCCCATATATTTTGTAATTAAATAAAAGAAAATAACTGTTGCTGCTTACCTTTAAAACCGTGTCCACATTGTTTACAGTGTAAGCTAAACATGCACATATTATGCCTAACACTATTGATGTAAATTTTGTTAATAATATAGACCATTGTTTTTCTCTAAACTGTGTTGTCGAAAAAATGGTATATATATCTTCAACCACAACAGCGGTTACACTGTTAAGGACAGTAGCCCAAGAACTACAAAGAAGTTAAGGTTTTATTTAAACACAGGTTTGTGAAAAAAAGTTGCAGGGCTAACTAACGACAACATAATTAAATTGATGGAACATGGAACGGATTTTATCTAATGGTTTATGTGCTATTCCTTCCTTACCTTAATGTTCCGCTCCATATTCCTGCTATAAATAATCCTGACATCCCGGAATATTCGCTCAAAACTTTCATTACAAATAGAGCCAAAACTTGATTCTTTTCGGCGGCAAGCTAAAAGCAATTTAGGACATGAAACGTTTAAAACTTATAAAACTTAATTACCTTGGTTGTTAATGGGTCGCACTGATGAAACATTGCATAAATTATAATTCCGCAGTAAGTACACAGCATAGTAATTAAACATAGAGTGAACACAAAAAGCCAAGAAGTCCTAAAATATTATAGTTGTTCGAAGTAGTACCTTTCGGAGTAAGTCAAACTTACTTTATTGCGTCCTTTAGTGAAGGGAGTGCTAAATATTTTTGCATTACGTTCTGATTTATTGCTGACACAAAGAGATAGTACATACATCCTCCAAATACTGAAGTCCACAGGGTGTTAGTTTCTGATAAGTTAAGGTTTAAACTGGGCTTCATTTTTATTCTGTCGTACCTAAATATTATTCTATAACTTACTTTGGACCTTCAATACGTCCACTTTGTAAATTTCGATCTACAATAACGTCTATATGTCCGATATCTAGGGTTCCTTTGACCGTTATTAAAAGCAAAGATGCGAATATGATGACCATATGAAATACGTCTGTCCAAATCACGGCTTTTAAACCACCCTGCAGTACATATGGTATAAAAATAACACTAACATTAAAGTATGTTTGATCCGTGGAACATTCTTTTTGTAAGATAATATAGGTATATCCCGTTTTTTTATTATTATACGGTAATGATTTTGTCTAGTATTTTTCCCTAGTACTTACCAGTGAGGTATAAAAGATACAAATTGTGCATAGTACTGGCGTTACAAAATTAATATTTAGTTCTGTAACTGCAAAAAATAGAAAAAATTAAATGGTTTTTCTTACAGGTCTACAAAACAAGTCTGTTGAAACAAATTAAAGTAATCTGTGATTAAAATAAAATAATTTCAAGATTGATCAGTATGGCATTTAATTGTAGGCTTTAAGGACATACTGTATATAAAATAATAGTGATTGAACACCTTGTCAAAGTTTTACAGACTTATTTTGAAATTGTTATTATGTTACAAGGGTCGTACCACTGACAAATGTTGTAGAAGCAATACAAATCGTGAGAGGTAGCCAACTTAACTAAAAAAACAAATCATACTGCTCTTTTCAAAATTAATTTTTTAATGTTTACCATGTAGATTATGTACAGAACAGCTCCAAACAGTCTTAGTTTCTTGTCAAAACGTTTTTCTAAATACTAAAAAGAAAACAATCGAAAAATAGATATCATTTTAATCGTTGAAATTTAAGAATTTATACCTCATAAACAGAAGTTAAATTTAAACGGTACAATACTGGAAGAAAAATATGATTCATTACTAACGTCATAGCAATGAATCCTATTATCAAGTAGACATGTTGTATTCCGTACAAATAGGTATCAGTGGGAATTTTTATCATTAAGAAGCCACTGATAAAACTAAAAATAAATTATATTAATGTTGTACAACATATAACTCTTGGCAAATGAAAGACGTTTTCTGGGCTTGGGCCGTGTTCAATTTGAAAACGGTTTCGACGTTTCGCTACTTCGTAAGGGCCCTCTTCAGGAAATGAAAGACAAGAAGAACGAAAGAAGCGATTTTTTACCCTCTGTGTCGATCGTCTCTTCGATTTTGACACGCTCAAAACCCGGAAAACATCATTACGTTAAGTATGAATTGTCCAATTTGTGTACTTTTCAGTGGAATAAACTTACCTTGCGCATATGGATAGACCGACGGGGATAATTTTCAGTTTTTTCTTACCCAAAAAATATTCTTTGGCAGTGACTGGAGTGTAGAAAAAACTGACGTATATTCCAATTACCATAGAGCATAATAACGTAAGGGCGCAGATCATGTAATCAGGCCATCTGAGAGTCTGAAATGCTGCTCTAACGTTTTCCATTCCGGGTACTACGAAAATTCTTTTTCCCATGTGATAGCTGTCACCTATCACATCGGATTCCGCCATCAAGTAATTAACTTTAACTTTATTTATCGGAAAGGCAAATTGCTGAATGAGAGATGAAATATGTATGCAATATCACTACACGGTGCACTATCAAAAATTTTAAGCACATTTTTCCACTTGCATTTTAATATGTTTCGGAAGTACTTCATAGTATGATACTGATGTGATCATGTACAGAACATAACGAATTAAACTAGGGCCTATTAAACCTTCATTCGCTGACTACCTATTAGCGTACTCGTAGTATGAAAGGGGCAATAAAGCAAATTAGTAAGCCGCCGTCGTTTAAACTTGTGGAGGAATTATTTATCTACTACGTGACCTTTCGTTTTCTTATAATCAGGTAGGTACCTACAGTTTTTCACTACATTAAATTGTATGTTGCTATCGAACAAAACTTGACAATTATATGAAATATAGGTGATAACTGATGACGTAATGGCGACAAAATGTTCTTGATGATTTAAAAAACTATCTATTGTCGTGCAATTATTTTAATCTTTGTTGTGCAAGAAGTGTCTCATTTACTTATTAACGACCACCTACCGAATGTTAAATATGATTTAACAAACGTTTCATTTTATATCTTGCTTAAAATCTAGCACTTCAAGTGGTATTGATCAAGGGAAAAATATAACAAAGAACTTTACTATAGTTACTACTGTGTTGCAAAAAAGTTTCGAAAAGAGCTGTGTACTGACACAATTTACTTTTAAAGTCGTAAAAAAGGTAACTATCTCAAATGGGATCTCATCGTGGTCGAAAGTGTTACGTAACAACTTAATCACTTATTCAAGGCTTTTGGCATTAACGATTACCAACAATACCAACGGAGGTTGAACTTGAGTTTACAATAATTGTATAATTTGTTGCATATGTAGTCACACTTCATATCAGCATTTAGCAAATGTTTCGTCGATTGTATTTGATTCTAACCCCCATAATTTATCAGTATGTCAGTAGTTTTATCTATTTTTTCCTTAGTGGTAAATATTTTTTTTTAAGAGAAATCTTGTAACATGGTTATTTTGACGTATGTTAACTTCGTGTTTAAGATGCTTCACAAATGTTCCATTATTATCTTTTTTGATCTGTTTATAGCTTAAGCCCAATAGATACTGCATCAGATTTCCATGAAAGTTTTGCGTTTTCACTTCTTCGATTTCAAACCATTTACACACAAAAATGTAGTATTTAAGTGAATATTCTGATCATGGCTGATTGCTGTTACCTTAAACTTATTGCATATTTGGTAAGTTCGTAAACAAAATATATTTTCCTTACAGATACAGTTATACGTTATTAAAATCTATCCACATATAATAAGTACAAGGTAATGTGACACTGATTTTTTTCATGTTAAATATACAAAAAAAAAATCATCGATAATTTCTGCTCTTTGTTCATGTGAAACATTGGTTTAGAGCCACTTATCTGTTTATTTCCATATTTGTCCAGTGTGTTCACACCGTGTCTAATGATATGTTAAATAGCGTGCAAAAATGATTTCAAAATTGGTTTTGTAATATATTTGGAACTAACACTGACGTACTTTAGATCGTTAAAATTCAGTGAAATCTTTGATGCAAGCTTTGTTTTTATTTTTATAGTATTTTTAACTTTAACAGAAATGAATATTCTAAATATACAATTATAGCTATTAACATACCTAGGAACCTAGGATGTAAAGAGTGCCATAACCGCCGCAGCCGTCCGTTTCAAATCCGAGCGTTAGCGAGACTTTTTTATCGGTTTCTGACCATTTTAATCCAATAATCCAAAAAATAATTAGAGGCGTAAAAAATAAACAAATTTGGTTGATCAGTTACGCATTAAACAGTTTAAATAAAACCGGTAAACGTACAAAACGCACAACATTTTATGACTATACTAAGACTAAGAATAATGTATATTTTTATTTTGCAGAGATATTTACACATACAATTAACTCTGTGAATTTATGTTGTGAAAGTGTTTAGTAAAATCAAAATTCTGGAAATGTTTTTGTTTTTAGGGTGAACGAGGAAGCTTAATTTAATACACTGCAAATGTGACACTATATTTTTTAATGTATCTTTACACCATTAAATTACGATTACGATGATATAAAAACTTAGGTGCTTATTACATATTCACTAATAATGCTTTTCAGAATTAAAAACTGCTTTCGATAGACAGCAAAGAAATACGTATTATTAATATTATTATTAAGACCCACCACTGACCCGGAAATGACCGGCATTCAGGCAAGACTTCTATCATTACGGGTACTAAGACCAAGTAATGATATGCATTGATTAGATTAACAGAACAACTTTCGAGATTCTAGAATTACAGCATACAAATTAGTCTGCTATTATTCTCTAATCTCACCCCATCCCCAAAAGTCTAGCCTAACTACCGACCATTTATCCGCGCATCACATAAAAGTGACCTACACTACTCTGACCTACTGGTGCTAATCTAATCTGACTGACATGATCAGACTGTTCAAGAAACTTACGAACAATATGACATGTTCCTAACAAAACAGCTTTTTGAATTTTGACAATTATTGAATCATTCAAATGCAAAGACTTTAAATTCTCAACTAAGCTATTTGGAACTACACCTACATTAGAGATAACTAGGGGTAGAATTGAAATTTTTTTAAGATTCAACATGGATTTCATTTCTATCGATAATTGTAGATATTTTGAAATCTTGGTGTCGTATGTTTGAATAATGTTGTTTGTGTTAGGAATAGCAATGTCAATGAGAATGGCTTCGTTTGTGTGTTTTTTGATAAGTATGATGTCTGGTCTGTTAGCTGTAATGTTTAAGTCTGTAAGTATTGTACGATCCCAGTATAATTTGTATTTGTTATTTTCAAGGAACGGAGATGGAATGTAAGTGTAATAGGGTGTCGTATCTTCGATTAAATTCATAAGTGTTGCTAATTCTTTGTGAATGATTTTGGCTGCGTTGTCGTGTCTAGCTTTGTAATCAGTTTGTGCTAGGATGCTGCAAGAAGAGATTATGTGCTGGATCGTTTCAGGTTTTGCTTTGCAGAGGCGACAGCAGTCGTTTTTTATGTTCGGATCTTTGATGATGTATTTTCTATAATTCTTGGTATTGATTACTTGGTCTTGAATAGCAAACACAAATCCTTCTGTTTCGGCATACAAACTTGATTTTTTTAACCAAATCAATGACATCTTCTTATTGACATGATTTTCTTCTAAGTCTTTGTAGAATTTTCCATGTAGTTGTTTTTGTTTTAGCACACTTATTATTTTATCTATTGTGTGGGGGGTGTGGATTTCTTCGGTGTTCGACAGATTTAAGGGTGTGTGGTTCAAATCTGCTCTTGTGATGGTGCGAAACATTTCATTTCTTTCCGCTCGTTTCAAGAAATACTTCTTCAAATCTGAGATTTGTCTCTGATATAAGTTTTCTAAGTTCTGGAAACCCCTTCCTCCATTCTGTCTTGGTAATGAGAATCTTTCAATCGACGATTTTGGGTGATGCCTTCTATACTGTGTGAAGATTTTCCTTGTTGCGATGTTTAAATTTTCAAGATCAGTTATTATTAATATTATTATTATTAATATTATTATTATTATTGTATTAGTCTATTGATATGTAGGTATATGGCAGCTAAAATATATCTATTTTCATATTTAGAAAATTTATAATATTTACAGTTAAAACAACCTTAATACAATACATATTAGTGCATTATATTATTATTAGTCATTTTATCCGCACATTTTGTTTTTGCGTCTGAGGCGAAGTACTGTGGCGTTAGTTTATCGTTTAATTAAATAAATCTCTCCTCTGTTTTTTTCCTCAATAAACCTACCCGTGGCCCGCTTGTCTGTTTTATAGTTAGTCACCCTGACCGGCCCCTGGGTGCTGAAGAATTTTGTCTCCCTGTTCATCCTATCTCCTGATAAACATGAGTTCATGTGCAAATCAATGCAGTGTTGATAACAAAAACGCCCCAACGATTCCATGCGATGTGTGCCAAGAGCTTCTCCATTTCAAATGCGCTGGGCTGCCTGACAATGATGTCAAATTTACTCGTAATAAATCGAAATCCATTAAAGTTGTATGCAACTCGTGCAGCAATAACATAGCTCAGTTCAAAGACATTAAGACGCTGATTTCTAATATTCGCAGTGATTTTAACACTGCTATTGATAACCTTAAAGCTAGCTTTGAAGTTCAAATTAATAATTTAAAATCGTCATTAACTCCTAAACAAGAAATAGCTCCAGTAGTGTTTGAAGATGTCGTTAGTGAAGTGATGGAACGACAAATCAGAAAACAAAATCTTGTCTTGTTTAACGTACCTGAACAACCGATTAATCTGTCTCGTGATGAAGCTCTGATACGTGACCGTGACTCTGTCAATAACATTCTCTTACATATTAATTCAGCTTACGACGTTAGCAGTGGATCAATTCAACGTATGGGAAAATATTTAGCAGGTAAAAATAGGCCTGTTAAAGTCCTTCTTAAGAATGAACAAGAGGTACAAAATATTATTCGTTTCGCTAAGCAACTAAAAAATTCGACTCAATATAAACATATCTTTGTTGCCTTTGACCGCACTCCAAGGCAGATTGAATACTACAAGCTATTGAAAGATGAAATGGATCTTCGTACTACAAACGGCGAAACTGGTTTGAAAATTAGATATGTTAAAGGCGTTCCACAAATATTAAACTAGTACAGACACCCATTTATTGCCGCAGTTCTTCACTTATACTCTACCAAAATGTTCGTGGTTTAAGGTCAAAAATCTCAGATTTCTGTAATACTGTTCATGAAAATGATTTAATCGCATTAAGCGAAACTTGGCTTATTTCTGATATTAATAACTCAGAGCTGTTCTCTTGTAATTACACTGTTTTTCGAAAGGACAGGAATGTACTCACTAGAGGTGGTGGTGTACTTTTAGCCGCCAAGAGTTCGTTTAAGTGTAACGAAATAGATGTCACTGATATAAATATTGCTTTTCCCTCTATAGATTTATTATGTGTGAAAATTAGCGATAATTGTAACAATAAATTATTTGTATTTGTGCTATACATTCCGCCTGCTACTTCTCTCCCTTCTTTTGAACTCTTCTTTGATGCACTCAATCGGCTAGCACCACTGCGTTGCAATAATCAAGTTATCTTTCTTGGTGATTTCAATGTTCCTGAATTCATAACTAGGAGTAATAGTGGATTTAGTACTACTTTGAATATATTTCAGAATTTCAACAACCTACAGCAATTTAATACTGTTGTAAATAGATATGGAAGGCTCTTGGACTTGATATATTCTAATCTTGAATGTTCTGTCGAAAATGCTATCTGTCCGTTGGTCGACGAAGATTTCCATCACCCAGCGCTTGAGCTGAATCTAAATTTCCAGTCTGGCAAACCTCCCAGCTCTTTCCGTATGAATAATAGTGTTTCGAACTACAATTTCAAGAAAGCAAACTTTCCTCTTCTCTATGAACTAATTACAAACGCTGATTGGTCCTTTTTGGAAAATATTAACAATGTCAATTTAGCATGTAAAAAATTTTATGATAAATTGTACAGTCTTTTTGATTTATCTGTTCCGAAATCTATTTATCGTGATCGCCGGTACTACCCACCTTGGTTCTCATCCGAAATTAT